AGGAAAAGCTGGATATAATTTTCATCTTTTCTCCTCTATAAGTAAGATCTTTTTCCCCCTGTCTTGATTCAGAATTTTTTATCTTTGATTTTCTGCAACTTATATATGTACACTTGGTTGTAGGGCTTTTGTTTGTTTGGCATTTGTTATACTTGTTGTTCTCTCAACTTCCTGGATCTGTGATTAGGTGTTTGACATTAATATGATGGAAATTTTCTTTCATTACTGCTTCAAATACTTATTCTGTTCCTTTCTCCGGTTATTCTCTTCATCCTATTTCTATTACACGTATGTTGCGTATACCCTTTGTAGCTGTCCTGCAGTTCTTGAAGATTCTGCTCAGATAGTCTTACTTATTTTTGCAGTTTTGGCAGTTATTTCCAAGCTCAGAGACTCTGTCTTCAGCCTTGTTTCATCTACCAAAAAGCCCATGAAAGGCATTCTTTATTTCTATTACAGTGTTTTTAATCTCTAGCACTTAATTCTCTTTAGTTCTTTCTTAGAGTTTTACCTCTCTTTACATTGACCCATCTGTTCTTGTATGCTGTCTACTTTATCCATTAGTGCCCTTGGCATTTTGGTCATAGTTGTTTTAAATTTCTGGTCTGATAACTGTCTCTTCAAAGCTTTTCTTTTCTTTCTTTCTTTCTTTTTCTTTCTTTTTTTTTTTTTTTTTTTTTTTTTTTTTGTTTGTTTGTTTGCCTTTTAGTATGCCTGGCAATGTTTTCTTTATAGCTGGACAGGATATAAGGGGTAAAAGGAAGACCTTTAGTAACAGGTGATATACAGTGGGGGAGGGGGCGAGGAAGAGTTTAATAGTTCTATGAAGAAGTCTCAGTCTTTTAGTAAATCTGTGTCTCTAGACTGAATTTCACAAGTGCTTCTCAATTCCTTGTATCTGCCCGCGATCCCCATTAGGTTGGACATGATGGCTACAGTGGGCTGCAGTTGGCATTTTCCGTTTTCACGTGGAAGGCTAGAGGAGACGAGTTAATTCCCTTCTCCTGCATCCTTTAGGCTGCTATAAATTACTAGCATTAGTGGCCGGACACGGTGGCTCATGCCTGTAATCCCAGCACTTTGGGAGGCTGAGGTGGGTGGATTACGAGGTCAAGAGATCGAGACCATGGTGAAACCCCATCTCTACTGAAAAATTCAAAAATTAGCTGGGCGTGGTGATGCACACCTGTGGTCCCAGCTACTTGGGAGGCCGAGGCAGGAGAATTGCTTGAAACCGGGAGGCGGATGTTTCAGTGAGCCGAGATTGCGCCACTGCACTCCAGCCTGGCGCCTGGCAACAGAGCAAGACTCTGTCTCAAAAAAAAAAGTTTTTCCCAAGGGCAGATTTTGTTTAGAAGAGAAGAACAGAGTGTCCGGGTATATTTCAAATGGTTACTTTTCTTATCCCCTCTGCCAGGAGCATGGAATCAAGAGGAGATTTTTCTCTAATAAAAAAAAGAACAAACTTTGAGAACATCTTTGAATAATTAAAGACGTTTAATTATTCAATTAACTCATTCAAATAATGACTCCGTCCCCTCCTTCTGACAGAGTCATTCTGGAATTTTTGTCTCTCGAACTTGTCTGCACTGAGCCTCGGGCAATTCAATTACAGTTCAGGTTTTCCTGCTTTTGCACTGGTTCCCATTGAGATTTCTGCTCCAGGAATTTGTGATTTTTTACATTCACTCGTTTATCTCTTCGATTTGCCCTGTATATCCTCATCTCTACAGATCTAAGAAGAGTTATTGATTTTTCTGTTTATTCAGATTTTTACTAATTGTTAGGAAAGATTCATGACTTCCTTGTTCCTTACTTGCTTTTTTATTCAACATTCCATGTCAGTACATATTTTATAATTTAAGCAACTTGTTTTGATGAATATTTCATTTCTCCACCCTCTCTTTTTTCGATTACTTAGAATATTTAGGCCAGACACAGTGGCTCATGCCTGTAATCCCAGCACTTTGGGAGGCCAAAGTGAATGGATCGCTTGAGCCCAGGAATTTGAGACCAGCCCAGGCTCCAAAACATTTAAAAAAGAAAATTAGGTGGGCATGGTGGTGTGTGCCTGTAGTCCCAGATACTCAGGAGGCTGAAATGGGAGGATCCCTTGAGCCCAGGAGTATGAGGCTGTAGTGAGCCATGATCCCGCCACTGCACTCCATCCCACCTGGACAACAGAGAGAGAGATTCTGTCTCAAAATAAATACATACATAAACAGAAAAATAAAAATAATGTTTTAAGCACAAAAAATAAAAATCTTGCTTGTTTTAAAATGATTTTAATTTCTTATTTGTATATGTTTAAGGGTTACAGTAAATGATTTAAATTTCTAATACAGATTTTAATTCACTTTATTAATTTTCTTCTGAGGTAGATGCTCAGAAAACATTACATATTTACAAAATGAAAAAAGTTAATATTAAAGTAAATAACAATAAAAAACTCTCAAACTATAATTTTATTTCCAGTGAAAATACCCTTCAAAAATAAGAGTGAAATAAAGATATTCTCATGCAGACAAAACCTAAAAGAATGTATCTCCAGTAGACCACACTATAAGAAATTCTTTTTTTTTTTTTCTGGTACTCAATGTGTTCTTTATTCTATATCATCCTATTTGAGTTTTATTGTTTTTACACAAATGGAGGGAAATGCTTAAGGTACAAATTAATACATTAAAAAAAAATCTCAGTATGGAAAATACATTTAATAAATTAAAGCAAAAACCAAAGATGTGAGGAGATCCAAGAGATTAAGACAAGCTGTAACCAGAGTCTGAAGTATCTAAGGAGCTACTCTTTTTGAGCTATATTCTCTTCAACTTCCAGTTATCATTTGATAAACATGTCAGCAAAAGTTTCAATGTTTTAAAATATAAACAAATGTGACTTTATTTTGTATTGTACAAAGTGCTAATTTCGGTAGATCCATTAAAATAGAGAATATTTAAGAAAGATCATTAATAAAAGTAATGATCACTCAATTTAAATTAATGTTAGACACAGTTTACAGCATTTTATTGCTAGAGTTTTAAGTCAGCATGAGTGATATCAAAGTACTTATGTAGCTCATTTCTAAAATTTACAGAAAACCCAGTACAATTCCAAGTGTACTTTCATTATAACCAATATGAAATATGATTATATTAGAAATAGTTATCTACATATTAACAAGAAGCTCTTCTTGTTGCATTGATCCCTGTACTATTATGTAATGCCCTTCTTTGTCTTTTTTCTGGTTTAAAGTCTGTTTATCAGAGACACGGATTGCAACCCCTACTTTATTTATTTATTTATTTTTATTTTTGCTTGGTAAATATTTCTCCATCCCTTTATTTTGAGCCTATGTACGTCTTTGCACATGAGATGGGTCTCCTGAATGCAGCACACTGATGGGTCCTGATTCTTTATCCAATTTGCCAGTCTCTGTCTTCTAATTGGGGCATTTAGCCCATTTACATTTAAGGCTAATATTGCTATGTCTGAATTTGATCCTGTCATTATGATGTTAGCTGGTTATTTTGCCCATTAGTTGATGAAGTTTATTCATAGTGCTGATGGTCTTTACAATTTGGTATGTTTTTGCAGTGGCTGGTACTGGTTTTTCCTTTCCATGTTCAGTTCTTCCTTCAGGAGCTCTCGTAAGGCAAGCCTGGTGGTGACAAAGTCTCTCAGCATTTGCTTGTCTGTAAAGGATTTTATTTCTCCTTCATTATGAAGCTTAGTTTGGCTGGATATGAAATTCTGGGCTGAAAATCCTTTTCTTTAAGAATGTTGAGGCCAGGCATGGTGGCTCATACCTGTAATACCAGCACTTTGGGAGGCTAAGGTGGGCGGATCACATGAAGTCAGGAGTTTTTGACCAACATGGAGAAACCCCGTCTCCACTAAAAATACAAAATTAACCAGGCGTGGTGTCACATACCTATAATCCCAGCTACTTGGGAGGCTGAGGCAGGAGAATTGCTTAAGCCTGGGAGACGAAGGTTGCGGTTAGCCATGATCACACCATTGCACTCCAGCCTGGGCAACAAGAATGAAACTCCATCTCAAAAAAAGAAAGAATGTGGAATATTGGCCCTCACTCTCTTCTGGCTAATAGGATTTCTACAGAGAGCTCTGCTGTTGTTCTGATTGGCTTCCCTTTGTAGGTAGGTTGGGGAAGTTCTCCTGGATAATATGCTGAAGTGTGTTTTACAGCTTGGTTCCATTCTCTCCATCACTTTCAGGTACACCAATCAATCAATAGGTTTGGTCTTTTCACATTGTGCCATATTTTTTGGAGGCTTTGTTCATTTCTTTTCATTCTTTTTTCTCTAATTTTGTCTTCATGCTTTATTTCATTAAGCTGATCTTCAATCTCTGATATCCTTTCTTCCACTTGATCGATTCAACTATTGATACTTGTGTATGCTTCACAAAGTTCTCTTGCTGTATTTTTCACCTCCATCAGGTCATTGATGTTTTTCTCTAAACTGGTTATTCTAGTTATCAATTCCTCTAACTTTTTTTCAAGGTTCTTAGCTTCCTTTCATTGGGTTAGAACATGCTCCCTTAGCTGGAGGAGTTAGTTATTGCCTACCTTCTGAAGCCTACTTCTATCAATTCATCACACTTTTTCTCCATCCAGCTTTGTTCCCTTGCTGGCGAGTTGTAATCCTTTGGAGGAGAAAAGGCATTCTGGTTTTTTGAATTTTCAGCCTTTTGTGCTGGTTTTTCCTCAACTTTGTTGATTAACCTACCTTTGGTCTTTGATGTTGGTGACCTTCAGATGTGGTTTTTGTGTGGACATCCTTTTTGTTGATGTTGATGCTTTTCCTTTCTGTTTGTTAATTTTCCTTCTAACTGTCAGGACCCTCTGCTGCAGGTCTGTTAGAGTTTGCTAGAGGTCCACTCCAGACCCTGTTTGCCTGGATATCACCAGCAGAGGTGCAGAACATTAAAGATTGCTACCTGTTCCTTCCTCTGGAAGCTTCGTCCCGGAGGGGCACCCACAAGATGCCAGCTGGAGCTCTCCTGTATGAGGTATCTGTTGACCCTGGCTGGGAGGTGTCTCCCAGTCAGGAGGCATGGGGGTCAGGGACCCACTTGAGGAGGCAGTCTGTCCCTTAGCAGAGCTTGATTGCTGTGATGGGAGATCTGCTGCTCTCTTTGGAGCTGGCAGGAAGGACTGTTTAAGTCTGTTGAAGCTGCACCACCAGCCACCCCTTCTCCCAGGTGCTGTGTCCGTGGAGATGGGAGTTTTATCTATAAGCCCCTGACTTGGGCTGCTGCCTTTCTTTCAGAGATGGCCTGCCCATAGAGGAGGAATCTAGAGAGGCAGTCTGGCTATAGTGGCTTTGCTGAGCTGTGGTGGGCTCTGCCTGGATAAGCTTTTTTATAACCTGACTTCTTCAAACAAAGTTTACATCATGTTTAAACCATGTTTTAGATTCCAGTTTTAATTAAAAATATAAGGGAGAAGGATATTTCACATTTCTTTAAACTCAATTTCTGTAAACTCTAAGATCTTACAACAGAAGTGAAACTGCACATTTAGGGGTTCCTGCCACTCCACTGATGCTGGCCTTTGTGGGTCAAATGTCCTTAGGAAAATGAAAGACTGTGCACTCCTGATTTGTTGGCCAGCTCTGTTGACCTCTTTCAGTGGTCCCTTTTAATGTATGGTCACTCCTATGAGGCTTCTTGTACTTTGGCAACTGGTGAGTCTCCATGTCCCTAGGGCTTTTTAGTCACATGTCCATCCGCTGTTGCAATATAACACAGGCATCTAGGCAAGTTAACGATTAAATTGTTGGGATGAAAGGTCATCCTTTACTCAGAATATCAGAATGGTAGATAATTTGTTTTCCACCTTCTTTGCCGAAACAAGTAAAGAAGAAACAACACAGTCATATTAATAGAAGAGTCTTCATTCCAGACACACTCAAGGAATTATGCTGGAGAAGTTCTGCAACTCTACTTTTTGGGTGAGAAATTACATTTATCTTCATATTGACTCTTCTCAGACTCAAAACAAGTGGCCGTTGGTTAACTTAGGGTAGCCACCAACAAGAACCACAAACGTTAGATGTGCAATTGGTCTAAAGCTCAGGCTTTTTGAGAAAGGGTAATTCATAATATCTCCAGAGGACATAAGGAACATAAGATCTGGGAAAGGTAATGCAATTTATTCTCTATCATATTTTAATTTTATCTCAGACTCTTTTTTTCTTGTACTAGCTAGTTGCAAAATTGCCTTCTCTAAGGAGAAATAGGTAAAAACCTTCCAATTTTGCTGAGCTGTGGTGGGCTCTGCCTGGATAAGCTATTTTATAACCTGACTTCTTCAAACAAAGTTTACATCATGTTTAAACCATGTTTTAGGTTCCAGTTTTAACCTCAGTGTGAGGAAGGAGAATTGTTGCATACTTTGCTGGTAGAAGGAAGAGAAGATCTGTGATTGAGTCTTGATAAGATACCCTGATGTTGAAATGATAATGATAAGTTCTAGAAGAACTGGCAACTAATGATATGAACTAGAAGTTGAGTCTAGTGATGCCACTTTGGGCATCATGAGCACTGAAATAATTTTTGAACAACTAGAGTTGAGTAATACTGTTTTTAAAGAAAAGAAGAGACACCAGTGAGAGGGTGAACAAGAAGAGTGTAACATCAAGGAGTAATAGATAGCAAAGAATTTCATGACAGAGGACAATCAACAGTATCAAAGGTTTAGTGGAATAGAAAACAAAAAAGGACCTAGGATTTAGTGATTTCAGTATGGGTTTAGTGAGAGTGTCATCTGCAAACTCCTAGCCTCAGCATCAGAATCACCTGGGGCAGTTAACATAGTTTAAGTATCTTAAGTGATTCCTCTGAATTCTAACAGTTTGATAACCTTATGCAGAGGTGACAGGGGCAGGGATGAGATAGCAGAGCACCTGGGCAGCACCTCGTGTGTTAGAAAGAACTTCGGCCCCAAGGCTCTTGAGGCCAGGATTGTATACCACGGCAAGGAGGGGCTTCATGGACTGCAGTATCTAGACAGGCCATCTCTTGAGAGTTCTGAGAGCTATCTGACAAATTTTCTTGGTCAGGGCACCTCAACCATTTCTTTAAAGATAACCATATAACCATATAAAACAATTTTTAACTATTTATAGGAAGAGAAAAGTCTGTACTCATGTGACTCAGATACAAGAATTTGGTGCCTACTCACCCTCGCCAACTTCCACTTAATAAAACACTTCCATTTATTGCAGAATGCAAAGACTGCACAAAACTTGCTTGTAGTAAGCCTTCTGTCCAGCAATGCTGTTAGCACTGCTATGTTAACACTGGCCAGGTTTTTAATATAAGCCCTCTGGGCCATCAGAGGCTAAATGAGACAGTATGACTAAGCATTCTCCCTGAATGGCGCCTGAATGTTTGAACATCTGTCAGTGAGTTCAGCTACTGTTAGAAGCTTGAATAATTTTCTATATCCCAGGGACGTATTCCCTCCTTTGGACTTGGAAACAGTCCTTCTTCATCCTATAATTTGACAAATGCAGTGATGAAGTTTACTCAGAATAGCTAGTACAGAAATTCACTTAGAATCAGAGGAAGATAGGTTTTTAGAGGTTAGGTTGGCCAGAAAGTAACTAAATTTGTCATTAAATGGTGAATTTGTATCAATGGGGATAAATAGAAAAATACAGATAGTTAAAGGGTAAGGCTGGATATGGATATGAAGTTGAGTTAAAATTGTCTGGAAGCAGTGGGATGTGCTGCAGGATGGTTTTTTGTCTTCACAATGCATATATGCAACAATCCTTCCCCTTTGGTCTTCAGAATTCCTCATTCCTGGACAGTCCGGAGGCAGACCTGCCACTTTGTTTTGAGCAAACTGTTCTGGTGTGGATTCCCTTGGGCTTCCTATGGCTCCTGGCCCCCTGGCAGCTTCTCCATGTGTATAAATCCAGGACCAAGAGATCTTCTACTACCAAACTCTACCTTGCTAAGCAGGTAAAACACCACCGTTTTTGAACTCTAATTCCTTGGTGCATAACAGAGACATTTTATTGGTGGTTAGTGTCCTCTTCCTTGTCTTTAACCAGCGGTCACAGGTGCCATTGTCTCAGGCAGAACCAGGCTCTAGGTTTCCCTTTCTCCATCTACTCTAATTCTCTCTGGTCCCTTGCCACATTTTTAAAATCAAAGTAGCTCTGATTTTTGCATAAGAATGGTGACTCATAATTCTTGTGATCCCTAAACACAAAGGGTATATATCAATCAAATTATCTTTTCAGCATTTGAGAAATGAACACTGGATCAACTATCTTTAAACAATTCTAATAAATTGGTGGACTGCAATTCAGTTGGTACCTACCTCATGAAAATGAGCTAGATAATGGATCTCCTGCCCCACTGAGATAATCCAATTATCACTCATCTTCAAAAACTTGGATCCAAAATAGGGTTTCCATTTTCCCTGTGTATTCCATGAGTCAGGATGATCACTCACAGTAGAGGGAGGAAGGGTGAGTGTGCACAGTGACAAGCATGAGTAGGGAAATCATGGAAAGGACAGGTCTGCAGGAGAGGCCCAGGGAGGGGCCAGGAGGGGAGGAGCCCTCAGCCAGCTGCACCAACTGACTCAGGGAGAGGTCTTGTGGGAACCCAAGACCCTCATTCGAGGTTGTAAAGTTACCTCATAAAATCTTCCATCTGCTTCTTTTCACTAGTTTTTTTTTTTTTTTTTTTCCCTATTATTATTATTATTATTACTGTTTTAAATGGAGTCTCACTCTGTTGCCCAGGCTGGAGTGCAGTGGCCTGATCTTGGCTCACTGCAACTTCCACTTCCTGGGTTCAAGTGATTCTCATGTGTCAGCCCCTCCTGAGTAGCTGGGATTACAGGTGCATGCCACCATGCCCAGTTAAGTTTTGTATTTTTAGTAGGGATGGAGTTTCACCATGTTAGCTAGGCTGGTCTCAAACTCCTGACCTCAAGTGATACCACATGCCTCGGCCTCCCAAAATGCTAGAATTACAAGTGTGAGTCACCGCACCCAGCATCTATCTGTCCTTATCTTTAAACAGGTTTTTAGAAATGCAAACTAGCTTCCTTGCTCTACAAGCATACCTAACAATGACTCAGGTTACCTGGAACCTTAAAAAGGAGGAAAGAGCTTGGCCAAAGGAAGTGGAATTCACCTTGACACTTTGAGGTCGGAGTGGGTAGTGGGTTTTGTTAGATTCTGATTAGAAAAAGAACAGTCTCAGAGCTTGGGGCAGGGTCACTGTTCTACCTTGTTGACCTGAGTGCCCAGTGCAGAACGTAGCATGTTTCAGACACTCAGGTGGAATTCAACGTTGGTTTAATGTTGATGTTGAATGCATTCTAGGAAGAGTGGTTGATTCAAGAGCATGTTAGAGCTGGACATAGTGGTGGACACCTGTAATCCCAGCTCCTCTGGAGGATGGAAGTGGAAGGGTCAGTTGAGGCCAGCCTGGCACCATAGCAAGTCCCCATCTCTTAAGGAAAAAAAAAAAAAAAAAGGAAAGTATTATGTTAGACTTAGAACATTCTGAACATTAAACAACTCTGAACATTTGGTGAACACTTGCTAGCATTCTCAGTACCTTTGACAATTGAGTCAATGTTTGAGATAGAAGCAATCATGTTGGGAGGCTTTCTCCACTTTCTGGAGCTTCCAAGAAGAAGCTGGTTAATGAGCAAACCAATATCCCATCCTAATAAAAGCTACTAGTTAACTTTTACAAAATACTTTATTGTGATATAATTTACATACCATACAGTTCTCCCATTTAAATACAATTCAGGTCAGACACAGTGACTCCCACCTGTAATCCCAACACTGTGGGAAACCGAGGTGGTGGATTACTTGAGGTCAGAAGTTTGAGACCAGTCTGGCCAACATGGTGAAATCCCGTCTCTACTGAAAATACAAAAAAATTAGCTGGGTGTGGTGGTGCACGCCTGAAACCCCAGCTACTCAGATGGCTGAGACGTGAGGATCGCTTGAACCCAGAAGGCAGAGGTTGCAGTGAGCTGAGATCACGCCACTGCACCCCAGCTTCAGACTCTGTCTCAAAAAAAAAAATGCAATTCAGCTTTCAGTATATTAACACATATGTGCTATCATCACCACAATGTTAGAACATTTAATCCTCTTTAACCCCTGTCTCCTCGTTCCCCTTATCCCTAACTAACTGCTAAATCTCTTTTCTGTCTTTATAGATTTCCCTGTTCTAGACATTTCATATGAATGAAATTATACACTGTGTGCCCTTTTTTTGATTGGCTTCTTTCACTTAGCACAATGTTTTCAAGGTTTATCTGTTCTGTACCATTGCTGTACCATATATTGATACCGATATTTTACTCCTTTTTTTTTTGAGATGAATTCTTGCTCTGTAGCCCAGGCAGGCTGCCAACTTAGATTCTCACCAACTGTGTGTTAAAGTGCATGTCCCTGCACCATTGACAACTTGAGTTATTTTCAACTTTTATGTGCAAACATGACATCTCATTGAGTTACTTTGATTTTTATGATACTAACACAATTGATTTTTAAAATTTGTTAAGTATATTTCATTTGTGAATTGTCTGTTCATATCATGTCCTTATTTTTTTAATGGGGTTATGAATGTATTTAACTTATTTTTTGAACAGATAATTCTCAGAGTGTTACAAAATTCAAAAACTACAAAAGGGGCTGGGCATAGGAGCTCATGCCTGTAATCCCAAGACTTTGGGAAGCTGAAGTGGGAGAATTGCTTGAGCCCAGAAGTTCGAGACCTGCCTGGCCAACATGATGAGACCCATCTCTACAAAAAATAAAATTAGCCAGGCATGGTGGCACATGCCTGTGGTCCCAGCTACTCAGGAGGCTGGGGTGGGAAGATCACCTGACAAGTTCAAGGATGTCAAGACTGCAGTGAGCCATGTTCACACCACTGCATTTCAGCCTGGGCAACAGAGCTAGACCCTGTCTCCAAACAAACAAACAAAAAAAGTACAAAAGGGTACACAGTACTCTAGTCACTCTTTCCAGTTCCCCGTATCTCTTTTTAGAAATAACCTGTGCTTTTACAAACAGCTATGCACATATATTTTTTCATATAAATGCTAGTGTCCCATATGTGCACTTCTGTTTCTTACAGCTCCTTCCATTTTAGCACATACAAATCATGTTTCTCTTTTTATGGATATTTTATTCATTTTTACCTAAGCAGCCAAACTCGTACTGATACCACCACGATGCAACAAAATATAAAACATCATTCCATTAATGTTGGAGTAATGAACAAATTAGGGGGTCATGGTAAAACACAGCCAAAAGGGGCTGAGGAAATCAGTGGAGTCCATTACAGAGTAACCTTTCACCTGAACAATTGAGTTTTTAAAATAAGTAAAGCCCCCCAATCTTAGAAAATAGGGATAATCCTTCATCACACATCTTTTTTTAAATTGCATTTTAGGTTTTGGGGTACACGTGAAGAGCATGCAATATTGTTGCATAGGTACACACATGGCAGTGTGATTTCCTACCTTCTTCCCCTTCACCTATATCTGGCACTTCTCCCCATGCTATCTCTTCCCAAATCCCCACCCACTGCTGTCCCTTCCCTATTTCCCCCCAACAGAACCCAGCCTATGATGCTCCCCTCCCTGTGTCCATGTGTTCTCATTGTTCAACTCCCACCAATGAGTGAGAACATGCAGTGTTTGATTTTCTGTTCTTGCATCAGTTTGCTGAGAATTATGGTTTCCAGGTTCATCCATATCCCTACAAAGGACGCGAACTCATGGTTTTTTATGGCTGCATAGTATTCCATGGTGTATATGTGCCACATTTTCCCTGTCTAGTCTATCATCGATGGGCATTTGGGTTTGTTCCAGGTCTTTGCTATTGTAAACAGTGCTGCAATGAACATTCGTGTGCATGTGTCCTTATAGTAGAACAATTTATAATCCTTTGGATATATACCCAGTAATGGGATTGCTGGGTCAAATGGAATTTCTATTTCTAGGTCCTTGAGGAATCACCACACTGCCTTCCACAATGCTTGAACTAATTTACACTCCCACCAACAGTGTAAAAGTGTTCCTATTTTTCCACATCCTCTCCAGCATCTGTTGTCTCCCGATGTTTTAATGATCGCCATTCTGACTGGTGTGAGATGGTATCTCAATGTAGTTTTGATTTGCATTTCTCTAATGATCAGTGTTCATCACACATCTTTGTACTTTTTTACTTCCTGTTCTTAAGGTTAGATTCTAAATCCTAAAGATAAACAAACTAGATTATATCTACTTATCTATAGCCAGAGACATCTATTGTGTTGTCTAAAGAAGCCAAGTTTACTGAAACCTCTTTGATTAGACATCAGTCATATTGCATCCCCCAAAACTGACCCAATAGGTGCAATTAGAACCAGGATATCAAGGCAGAATACATAGCTATAAAACAAGAAAAATCCTAGGAGGGAAGGAAGGAAAAAAGAAGAATTCAGCTACTACCTAGACTGAACTTGAGTAATATATTCATCTCCACACATTTTCAGGCTGCATTGGATGTTCATGGAGTAATTTAGGAATAAATCTATGATTTGTGAAGCACTAAAATACTTAGTGGTTTACTGTATAATATCATAGCTTATCCCAGCAGTTTCCAAGACAGCCTCCAAAAACTGGCAGGAGAATTTTGCTGGAGCCGCATGCAGGACTACCAAGATTCCGTACCACACTGATAAAACTGGTTGTTTGGGACTGGTTGTTCTAGGCTTCTGTGTGCCAGGTCTGACCTTTTCGGGAATGGTTGATCCACATTGGAAGGCTTCCAGATGTGTTCCCTAGACATCCCTGTTGGTAGGAAGAGATTTACAAGAAAAAAACAAACCCATTCAAAAGTGAGTGAAAGATATGAACAGAAACTTTTCAAAGAGGACATTTATGAGACCAACAAATATATGAAAAAATGCTCATTATCACTGGTCATTAGAGAAATGCAAATCAAAACCACACTGAGATACCATCTCACGCCAGTTAGAATGGCAATCATTAAAAAATCTGGAGACAACAGATACTGGAGAGGATGTGGAGAAATAGGAACACTTATACACTGTTGGTGGGAGTGTAAATTAGTTCAACCATTGTGGAAGACAGTGTGAGGATTCCTCAAGGATCTAGAAATAGAAATTCCATTTGAACCACCAATCCCGTTGCTGGGTATCTACCCAAAGGATTATAAATCATTCTGTTATAAAGACACATGCACACATATGTTCATTGCAGCACTGTTTACAATAGCAAAGACCTGGAACAAACCCAAATGCCCATCAATGATAGACTGAACAAAGAAAATGTGGCACATATACACCATGAATACTATACAGCCATAAAAAAGGATGAGTTCATGTCCTTTATACGGACATGAATGAGTTTGGAAACCATCATTCTCAGCAAACTGACACAAGAACAGAAAACGAAACACTGCATGTTCTCACTCATAGGTGGGTGTTGAACATGAGAACACGTGGGCACAGGGAGAGGAACATCACACACTGGGGTCTGTTGGGGGGTGGGGGACTAGGGGAGGGACAGCGGAGGGTGGGAAGGTTGTGGAGGGATAACATTGGGAGAAATACCTGATATAGGTGACGGGGGGATGGAGACAGCAAACCACCATGGCATGTATGTACCTATGCAACAATCCAGCAAGATCTATACATGTACCCCAGAACGTAAAGTACAATTTTAAAAAAATGAAAGAAAGAAAAGATGAGGGGAAAATTAAAGAGGTGGACTGTAAAAATGGCTAAGGCTTTAAGATATAAGTATCTAGGTGGAAGATCTTAGAGAAACATGTAAAATTTTTCCAAATGTAAAAGTATCAAAAAGCCAGGATGAACTCAGTCCCCTACACAGTAACAAGAGGCAACCATCTCAGTCCCACAAAAGGTCTGTTTTTTTTTTCTTTGTAATGATTCTTTGAGAAGCTGTTATTTGAATGTACCATAATTTATGTGCCCTATATGATATGAATTTCATTGGTTTCTAATATTTTGAATCATGAGCAATGCTACAATACACAGCTTTGTATATATGTGTACATATAAGTGTGTCCATAGGATAAATTCCAAAAAATGAAATGACTGAGTTAAAGGTATATGAATTCAGAATTTTTATAGACAGTGCAAACTGCCCTCCAAAGAGGCTTTCCTCAGTCTCAACAACTTTGTATCACATTTTTTGATGTTTGCTAATTTTTTGATGTTTGATGTTTTGCCTAACCAGGCAAAAATGGTATGTCATTATACTTTCAAATTGTATTCTCATATTAATGAGGTTAAGCATATTCTCATATGTGTAAAAGCCTTTTGTGTTTTTTTTTAAATCCATTTATATTATACACTCATTTTCTGCATTATTAGGGTATTTTTAAAAATTACTTTGCAGCAGTTCTTTATAAAGTTAACTGGTCTTTTTTAATGTGAATTTCTTAGTGTATTTCAAATCCATTGTATGTATTTAATATATATGAGCTTGTGGCAAGGCCCCCTCCTTTTCCCTGGCCTGGGTAGTAGGCTGCTGGCTAGTGTCCTCTAGTCATCTTCAAGGGCAGGTACCTTAGCTTTAGCTTACTCTGTTTTACCTCCTAATTTAGCTAAAGGCAACCGGAACTTACTACCTATCAAGTTATTTGTTTACCCAAAACCTCATAGTCTCTTATGAGGAAAACACCCTATAGTGTATTATATACTTGAAAAACAAAATACATTCCAGTTATTAACATGTCTTTGACTCTACCTCTTACTAAATAATGGCACTGATCCTATTAGTTAACGTAAAAGTACATTGATCATCTTTGGCTGGTTTTCATTACAAAGGGCCCATTATCTCTGCCTGAGCCATTCTGGATAAATGAGACTTAAAAGAATGAGTAAGGGTAGATGGATAGGAGTATAAAAAGATGAGGGGAGGGGCAATGGTGCCACATAAATACCTTCATTTTGGTGGCTAAGATGCTGGTATATTTCCTTAGTGGAGGCAGTAATTTTCCCTCCTGATAGGTGCAGATGTGGGCCTTTAAATCAGTGTAATGTGTATCATGTCTTCTCAGCTCATAGGACAAATATTGATTGGCATTATCTGGGATCAAGACTGGGGCTGGGTGTGGTGGTTCATGCTTGTAATCCCAGTGCTTTGGGAGGCCGAGGCGAGCAGATCACCTGAGGTCAGGAGTTTGAGAACAACCTGGCCATTGTGGTGCAATCCCATCTTTACTAAGAATCCAAAAATTAGCCAGGCATGGTGGCGCATTCTTATAATCCCAGCTACTTTGGGGGCTGAGGCAGGAGAATTGCTTGAATCCAGGAGGTGGAGGTTGCAGTGAGCCGAGATCACGCTTCTGCACTCCAGCCTGGGTGACACAGCAAGACTCCGTCTCAAAACAAAAACAAAAACAAAAAACCTATGGCCTAAGAAAGGGAATAGTGCCTTTTAAACCTAGTACTTTCTATTGCTGTGTAGCAAAATACCCCAAAACTTAGCAGCTAAATAAGAATTATTTAAATCTTAACAGTTTCTGTGAGTCAGGAATTTGGGAGCAGCTTACCCAGGTTCTGCTTCAGGGTCTCTCATGAGGATGAAGTTAGTATGTGCTGTCTGGAGCTACTGGCATGTGAAGATTTGCCTGGGGCTAAAAGATATGCTTCTAAGGTAACTCTCATATGGCTGGTGGCAGGAAGCTTTAGGTTCTCACTGGCTATTGGCAGAAGGTCTCAGTTCCTTACCAAGTAGACCACTCCAAAGAGCTACTGGAGTGTCCTCATGGCAGGACTGGTAGCTTTCTCCATAGTGAGCAGTCAGAGACAGAGGACAGGAGAACAAATCCACATTGCTTTTTGTTACCTAGCCTTGAAAGTCACACACTGTCACTTCTGCCATTTTCTATTCACCAGAAGTACATCCCTAAGCCCCAGACCACACTCAAGGGAGCGATAACTAAGCTCTGCTCTTTGAAGAGAGGAATATCAAAAAAAATCTGAAGACACATTTTAAAACTTCACACTCAGCATCCCTTAGAAACAATTATCATGGCATACTTTGAACATTACTCTATAACTTGAACCATATGTATCTGTTGGCGAGACCAGCTCCTAATATATCAACGTGGGTTTAAGATCTCTCAAAGTGATCGAGTGGTCGGTGAAAAAGAAAGAGAGACAAAGAAAAAGTTTTCTTTAAAGCTGGGCCCATGGGAGATACCACGTAAAGCCACTCTGTGGATGTCTGACATTCCACTGAAAACCTCAGTTTTTTATTGTGCTCTTTCTGTAAGGGACAGAGAGCAAGATTATGCGAAGTTTCAGTGATAATTATCAAGTTAAACATAATCAATACAGCAAGTAACAAACATCACAAAGCAAATAACTCATTTCAGGGAAACTAAATTCTAAGATAATTTATAGGTTAAAAATCAACAACAATTTCTTCTTCTTCTTCTTTTTTTTTTTTTTGAGATGGAGTTTCGCTCTTATTACCCAGGCTGGAGTGCAATGGCGCGATCTCAGCTCACTGCAACCTCCGCCTCCTGGGTTCAGGCAATTCTCCTACCTCAGCCTCCTGAGTAGTTGGGATTACAGGCACGTGCCACCATGCCCAGCTAATTTTTTGTATTTTTATTAGAGATGGGGTTTCACCATGTTGACCAGGATGGTCTTGATCTCTTGACCTCGTGATCCACCCACCTCGGCCTCCCAAAGTGCTGGGATTACAGGCTTGAGCCACCGCGCCCGGCCCAACAATTTCTTCTTGTTATTTCAGATAGCTTGGGTTTTGCCAATTCTTCCAGAAGCTGGGGGTTGCTCAGTCACCACAGAGGGGTTCAGAGTATTCCCAGCATGCATCTATTCATTCCAGAAATATTTATTGTGTTATCTGAATTATCATATACCATTCTTCTTATCCATCACTGAAAACCGTTCTGTTCTAAGAGCCTTATAAACAATGATATTCTCCTAACAGTGGTCTTTCTCCCTTCTCAGGTATTCGTTGGTTTTCTTCTTATTCTGGCAGCTATAGAACTGGCCCTTGTACTCTCAGAAGACTCTGGACAAGCCACAGTCCCTGCTGTTCGATATACCAACCCAGGCCTCTACCTAGGCACATGGGTAAGACCTATCACCATTTCTACCCTGCCTCCCTTTTCATCACCCATAGGTATCTAGCTGAAATGTACTCTTTGAGGGTAAAATTAATTCCAAGATCATCTGTCTTTTTCATGGGATCCATAGTTAGGCAAAGCTTGGGAATGGGGTGAAACAAATTTTAGCTTTTCATCTTCATTTGAGCATTAATATATGGGCCTTCTCCCTAGGTTAAGTATTAGCTTTCATGACTAAGATGTATATCTTATGTCCACATACCTTGCCATCTAAGGGTCACAGAGGAGAGCTAAGTTTCTTGATTTAAAGAATAGTTTAAATACTGTAAATGTTATTTTTAAATTGATTAATGACTCTAAACAATGGATCAGTGAGCTTAGTGTTTATATAAACTTGATGTCAAAAAACTAATGTCTCAGGCATTTTTGGGGGGTGGGGCCTAGACAGTGTTTAAAAAATAATTGAGGCCGGGCGCGGTGGCTCAAGCCTGTAATCCCAGCACTTTGGGAGGCGGAGGCGGGTGGATCACGAGGTCAAGAGATCGAGACCATCCTGGTCAACATGGTGAAACCCCGTCTCTACTAAAAATACAAAAAAAAAAATTAGCTGGGCATGGTGGCGCGTGCCTGTGATCCCAGCTACTCAGGAGGCTGAGGCAGGAGAATTGCCTGAACCCAGGAGGCGGAGGTTGCAGTGAGCCGAGATCGCGCCATTGCACTCCAGCCTGGGTAACGAGAGTGAAACTCCATCTCAAAAAAAATAAAAATAAAAATAAAAAATAATAATAATAATTGAATTAGTTGCCATCAATTCAATGATAACTAATGACACAGAATTATTTGAACTTTGAAACTTTATTGAAAAATCGGAATGTCTGACAATTGCAAACCTATGTTCGGGCAGGGCAATGTCAGCTGGGCCTCAGTAGCAGTGGCTGGGCAGAATCCTTCCTGGGCAGTAGATGTGCTCGGCACAATCCTCCCCGGGCGAGTGTTACAAATCATGGCTCTTTCCCCACCGGAATGCTGTTTTAGGAGCACAGCACTAGGTCTAGGAAATCAACATTTAATTTATTTATATCTATGTGAGATGATATAAGGCAAGTTTTTTAAAAATCAATTGCTGAATCTTATATTAGAAAATCAAGATACAGACACCTTGCACCTAGTTCATTAGAACCTGCCTTCTGACCTTACTTCTGTAATGTCTGAAATCAATTTTCCTTGGTCTTGACAAGGTTTTTCCAGCTCCCAAAGTAACTCCACTAAAATGCAGATAGTAACCTTCTACTTTCTTGGCTGACTTCCCACTCAAGGGTAGTTCATGGAGATGATGTGCTAAAAGAGAAAGCTGGATGGCAGGGGGAGGAAATGTTCAGTCTGGCATCCATGTGCTCTCTGCCTGGCCAGATCACCCACAGCAGTCTCCTCCCTCAGCCCTCCTTTCTTCCCATGTTCTCTGACATCCTTCTCCCCTCAGTCCTTGGTCAGTGGCAGAACATCGTGTGAATTTCTCTCCAGCTCCTGGTTTTGCTGATCCAACACAGCAGACAATGGTGTTTACAGAAGAATTCCTGGTTCCTGTCGCTATTCTGGATTCTCTCCATACTCTGTGGTACTTTCCAATTTCAGACTCTAATCCGGACACTCTTGAAGGTAAGGACAAAAGAGTGGGTGACACGAGGAGGTACCGCAGGGCAACGTCTAAGTCAGAGTAAATGGCATCGAGTTAAGTTGAGCTCCAGGGCAGAATTGTATTAGAGGGATTGGATAATAGGCTTTTATCACAAGCATTGATATGTATGGGCCATGTAGACTTAATTTGGACAAAAGGCTCGTTTTTCCTCTTTTTTTCTCCATAGGGTGACAATTCTAATCTGGCCTACTCTTGCCTGTTCTTCATCTCCTACGGATTCCAGATCCTGATCCTGATCTTTTCAGCATTTTCAGAAAATAATGAGTCATCAAATGTGAGATTTTAAATATGCCCATCTCATATGTTCCTTAATTGAATATGTTACCTTAATGAATATGACTTTGTCTGGATCTCATGGAGGTCTCACAGCTCAGAATAAGGTAGTACGGACCATTTTATGACAAGGAAACAGTGATGAGAGCATTAAAATGCTGACTTTTACTTTCACCTACCAATTGTCAGCATAGTTAATTAATTCATATATCTATGCCAGAAAATCTGATTATCATTCTACTAGTGGCTTTAGGGTCTTGAAATAAACCATGTTGATAAACTGAATTTAACATCATATCTAGTTTCTAGCACAACATTATATTACTAAAAAATCAGTTTCTGGCTGGGCATGGTAACTCACACCTGTAATCCCAGCACCTTGGGAGGCCAAGAAGGGTGGATCACCTGAGGTCAGGAGTTCGAGACCAGCCTGACTAACATGGAGAAACTCTGTCTCTACTAAAAATACAAAATTAGCCAGGTGTGGTGGTGCACGCCTGTAATCTCAGTGACTTGGGAGGCTGAGGCAGGAGAATCGCTTGAACCCGGGAGGCAGAGATTGTGGTGAGCCAAGATTGTGCCATTGCACTCTAGCCTGGGCAACAAGAGCAAAACTCTGTCTAAAAAAAAAAAAAAAAAAAAATCAGTTTCTGGTTTTAGAGTTCCATGCAGTTCCTGTCTCCAATCGGTTTATTTTCTGATTTTTTGTGTCTTTCAGAATCCATCATCCACAGCTTCATTCCTGAGTAGCATTACCTACAGTTGGTATGACAGGTAGGAAAGCCTGGAATATGGGTTGTCTGTATCCTTACTCTCTCACTCCTCTGAAAGTAAGAGAAAGATTGATTTTTTTTTTTTTGAGACGAAGTTTTGCTCTTGTCACCCAAGCTGGAGTACAATAATACAATCTGGGCTCACTGCAGCATCCTGGGTTCAAGCTATTATCCCGCCTCAGCCTCCCGAGTAGCTGGAATTACAGGTGTGCACCACCACATCCAGCTCATTTTTGTTTTTAGTAGAGACAGGGTTTCACCATGTTGACCAGGCTGGTCTCAAACTCCTGAGCTCATGATCCACTTGCCTCAGCCTCCCAAAGTGCTGGGATTACAGGCGTGAGCCACTGCGCCAAGTCAAAAGATTAATTTTTTAAAAAATACTTCCTGTGACCTCCATTTCTCTTCTACTTAGAATCAGAGAGTGTTAAAACTCACAGGCCAACTTCATCCAAGCCCTCCACTGGACAGATTGAGATGCTGAGGAGAAGATGGAGGGGGATTTTTTTTTTAGCATCCTGGGGCAGTTCCACAGGAGAAGAGTCAAGACGCAATAGGACAGGAAAGGCAAAATTTGGAGGCAGGTTTGGAGGGCAAGGGGTGCAATAGCTGGCCTGGACTACCAGAGGATGTGGAGCAGGCACTCTTGGCCTTTATAGTTGCAGGGACCCGTTTGGCAAGCTGATGAACCCTCTGAATCCCTTCTCGGCTGGTGTTTTAAATGCATAAAATCAAATGAAAGACACTGGATTCTAAAGAAAGCCAAATATATTGAAATACAGTTACCAAAATATTTAAAAAGCAAATGTGTGATTTAGTAATGCATGCACTTCTTTATTAATGCATTAAATAACAAAATCTAGTGATGAGTCTAATAATGACCATAATTTCAAAGTAGTGACAAACATAGTGAGCTATGAGAACACGTGGGATTTCTCAGCTGGGCACCATGGCTCACTCCTGTAATCCCAGCACTTTGGGAGGCTGAGGTGGTGGGTCACCTGAGGTCATGAGTTCGAGACCAGCCTGGCCAACATGGTGAAACCCCATCTCTACTAAAAATATAAAAACTAGCCAGGTGTGATGGCTCACATCTGTAATCCCAGCTCCTCAGGAGGCTAAGGCAGGAGAATCACTTGAACCTGGAAAGCAGAGGTTACTGTGAGCCAAGATTGTGCCATTGCACTCCAGTCTGGGTGACAATAGTGAAATTCCATCTCAAAAAACAAAAAACACACATAAAAAAGAAAATATGGGATTTCTAAAGGCTAGATTTCAGTTAGATGTTATTATAAATAATATAATTTAGGCCAGGTGTGGTGACTTACAACTGTAATCCTAGCACTTTGGGAAGCCAAGGCAGGAAAATCCCTTGATCTCAGGAGTTTGAGGCTGCAATCAGCTATGGTTGTGTCAGTGCACTCCAGCCTGGGCAGAGAAAAACCATGTCTCTAAACATATATAATTTATTTTTCATCTACGTTCTCAAACCCCTGGTTAAGAGCCCTGATCAAGAGAGATGGCACAGTGGCTGGGCATAGTGGCTCATACCTATAGTCCCAGTACCTTGGGAGGCTGAGATGGGCGGATCACTTGAGGTCAGGAGTTTGAGAACAGCCTGGCTAACATGGTGAAATCCCTGTCTCTACTAAAAATACAAAAATTAGCCAGGTGTGGTGGGCATGCCTGCAGTTCCAGCTACTTAGGAGGCTGAGGCAGGAGAATTGCTTCAACCTGGGAGGCAAGCTTGCAGTGAGCTGAGTACACACCATTGCACTCCAGCCTGGTGACTAGAGTGAAACTCTGTCTCAACAGAAAAAAAAAAAAGCCGGGTGGAGTGGTGCACACCTGTAGTCCCAGCTACTTGAGAGGCTAAGGCAGGAGAATCACTTTAAACCCAGAAGGCGGAGGTTACAGTGAGCTGAGATTGTGCTACTGCACTCCAGCCTGGTCAACAGAGTGAGACTCCACCTCAGGCACACACACACACACACACACACACACACACACACACACAGAGCGAGCGAGAGAGAGAGAGAAAGAGAACCAGAGATGCCACAGGGGCTGCTTTATTCCTGAGGGCATCAAGGAGGCCCCCAAGGAAATGCCAGAGTGGCAGAGAGGCAGCCAGTGTTCGAGGAGGAAGGAGCAAGAGCAGGGCAAGGTGATGCTCTTTTAGCTCTTAATTCAGTAGTGCTCCTCCCCTTCCCCTTCTCTTGTCTTCTAACACATTCTGTTGCCCCTGCTTGTTCCTTTTTCTGCTCTCCCCACTCCTCTGTTAAGTTCAAAGGGCCAGGAGATGGGGATAGTCCCATCCATATGTCCCTCTATCCCAGAACCTGGAGGTAGGTTCTGATAGAGATGGTGGAGACAGCCTCTGACTCAGCCTGTGGGTCACTCCTGTTCCAGCACTGTTCTGAAAGGCTACAAGCAACCTCTGACACTCGAAGATGTATGGGAAGTTAATGAAGAGATTAAAACCAAGGCACTAGTGAACAAGTTTGAAACACACATGAAGAGCGAGCTGCAGAAAGCCAGGCGGGCACTCCAGAGACGGCAGCAGAAGCGCTCCCAGCAGAACTCTGGAGCCAGGCTGCCTGGCTTGAACAAGAATCAGAGTCAAAGCCAAGATGTCCTTGTCCTGGTAATGTTCTCTTGAGTGCCTGTGTGAGCGTGCTGCGTGTTTCAGACAAGAGTACATCAGCATCATTGTGATTCTGTCCTTACATTTTTATAGCACTTCATACTTCTCAGTGCCCTTTATATTACTGATGGTATTCACAGTACTAATACTTAGTGATGGATGCATGGGATGCGATGTACTGTTCTCTCTCCTTTGGGGTATTTTTGAAATTTTTCATAATGAACTATGTTTTTTTAAAAAAAATAATACCTTAGCATTTCTAGATTTTGCACCTTGGTACAAATTAACATGAGCAGCCAATTTGTTGATTCATTCACTTGAAAATATTTATTGAGCACAACTGTGTGTCAGTGACCATTCTGGGCACTAAAAGAGTACTCATCTTTTGAGAGCTAGAAAATATATAGTAAGTCCATACATAGGTTACTCTTTGAGAGTAACACAATAACTATTAAGAAAATAAAACAATAATGTATTTGGAGTGAAGTACGACTTTAGACAGGGTAACAGGGGAAGCTTCTCAGAGGAGATGATGTCTGAACAGACACCCAAATGATGAGATGAGTCCCTCTGAGGGACAGTCAGAGGGAAGGTGTTCCAGTCAGAAGGAGCAGGCATGCAATACTGAGAGTAGGACACGTTTGGCTTGCTTCGGTAATGGCAAGAAGATGCAGGAGAGGGTGTGCATGGGGTGAGATGGGTGCAGGGAAGTGGATAGGGACTAAGCTGTGTGGACCCTTGTGGGCCACAGTAAGGAATCTGATTGCAAGTGGAAGGTTTTTAGCAGAGGAGTAATGAGATTGGATTCATGTTGTGAAAAGCTTCCTTGACAGCTCCTCAGAGGGTGGATTGTAGCGGGCAAGAGTAGAAGCTAGAAGAGATGCCAGGTGAATTGTCCCGGCAAGGGAGACTCATCAGATGGGACCTCAGTGAAAGACATTGTGAGAGAGTGTCACTGATAGGCTGAGAAGCTGCAATTTGGGGCAAGATGAGACTCGGAAGAATGTAACGAGGAGGTCAAAGCATAGACAAACAGGCTGGTGACTGAGTCATAATGCCCCATGTATTAGTTTTCCAGGGCTGCCATGATAGAGTACCACAATTGGATAGCTTAAAACAGAAATGTACTGTCCCCAGTTCAGGAGGCCAGAAGGGTAAAATCAATATATCAGACTTGCTCTGCTGAAACCCGGAGGGGAGAATCCTCTCCTCCACCTTCTAGTGCAGGCGTCCCCAAACTACAGCCCGCGGGCCGCATGCAGCCCCCTGAGGCCATTTATCCGGCCCCCCACCGCACTTCAGGAAGGGGCACCTCTTTCATTGGTGGTCAGTTGAGAGGAGCACAGTATGTGGTGGCTGTCCAACGGTCTGAGGGACAGTGAACTGGCCCCCTGTGTAAAAAGTTTGGGGACGCCTGTTCCAGTGTTTGCCAGCAATCCTTGGCATTCCTTAACTTCTGGATGCATCACTCTGACCTCTGCCTCCACCATCACAGGGCTATCTTCTCCCTGTGTCTGTCTCTTCTCTTCTTGTAAAGATACTAATCACACCTCATTAGCACCCTAGTGGCCTCATCTTAGTTTGGTTACATCTGCAAAGAACCTATTTCCAAATAAGAGCACATTTTAAGGTACTAGGGGTTAGAGCTTCAACATAGCTTTTGGGGGTGGGGATACCATTCGACCCATAACATCCCACAGCAACCACAAGCTCAAAAAGAACAGAAAGGGCCTCTCAGCATCGTGCCCAGGACCTTCACTCTCAGGACTGCCCCTCAGGCCCCCATGCAGACAGGTCCCTGTTTTTACATGGGACTCTTACCAACTTAGTTGCCTGGTTTTCTAATCCAAAATAGATTACAAGTATTAGTTAGGAGGAGGAGAGTGGAACAGGGAAGGCAGCCAGAAGGGTGGAAGCAACTTGGCCAGAAGAGATGATCAAAACCTATACAGAGAAGGCCACAGGGCTGACAGGCTGACCATCCTGGAGCTGCTCAGGCCAGGAACAAACACAACTCTGTGGACACTGTTGTTTGGTTTTGTACCTAGGAAGAAGTTAAAAAGAAAAAAAAGAAGTCTGAAACCAAAGAAGATGTTCCAAAATCCTGGTTGATCAAAGCCCTGTTCAAAACTTTCTACATGGTGCTCCTGAAATCATTCCTGCTGAAGCTAATCCATGACGTCTTCATATTTGTGAGTCCTCAGCTGCTGAAGTGAGTCCCCAGGCCTTGAATGGTCCTTTCAGGGCCTCCTCTGCCACCCTCCCTTTTGCCCCTGTATATCTAAGCAGAAGCTTTTCTTAAATTCCCATTTTAAAAAAATGCTCATAATTTTCTTTCACTTTAACCTTACAACATTGTGTTCATGAAGACTGCAGGCAATTTTCAAGATATATGATAATATGTATTTTAGCCTCTCTCTTCCCTTCATTAGGGGCTCTTTCTTGTTAAACTGCTAAGTGCTGAGCCAGGTCCAAGTGGTGGTCAGCCTACCCCTGGAGAGTGACTAACTTCATCTCTCCATCACAGCCTTCCATGGAAGGTTTAGGATAATCTTGACAAGACTTCACAATCTGCCGAGATCTATGGAATGAACCACCTGCAGGGAAAGACAGGGTCAAAGCATTGCGTGGCAGCTATGTGGAAGATTCCTCTCATTATTCATTCTCACAGCCATGGGTTATCAACCCTAACCTCTTGCTGCTCACCTGCAAGTAAAAGCAAGAATACCAGGCTAGGCATGGTGGCTAATGACTGTAATCTCAGCACTTTGGGAGACTGAGGCAGGAAGATTGTTTGAGGCTAGGAGTTTGAAACCAGGCTGTTCAACATAGTGAGACCCCATCTCTACAAAAGAAAACAATTAGCCAGATGTAATGGCACATACCTATAGACCCACCTACTTGGGAGGCTGAGGTAGGAGGATCACCTGAGCCCAGGAGTTCAAGACTTAATGAACTATGATCCTGCCACTGCACTCCATCCTGGGCAACAGAGCAGACCCTGTATCGGAAACAAAACAAAATGAAATGAAAGCCTGGGCACAGTAGCTCACACCTGTAATCCAAGTACTTTGTGAGGCCAAGGAATGGATCATGAGGTCAGGAGATCAAGACCAACCTGGGCTAACATGGTGAAACCCTATCTCTACTAAAAATACAAAAAATTAGCTGGGCAAGGTAGCACAGGCCTGTAATCCCAGCTACTTGGGAGGCTGAGGCAGGAGAATCGCTTGAACCCGGGAGTCAGAGGTTGCAGTGAGCCGAGATCGCACCACTGCACTCCAGCCTGGGCAACAGAGCGAGACTCTGTCTCAAAAAAACCAACAAACAAACAAAACAAAACAAAAAGGACACTGGCAAAACTGTGGAACTTAGATCTTTCTAAGGCTTTGGACAATTCTGGTCACTTTTGTTAGCTACAGTATAAGGATAGGGTGGTCTAGCTGGCTGTGTATGAGGAGAGAGGCATCCTTGGAGGCTTGCTTGATGGGTATAACTAACTTGGCTTTTCTATGGCAGATGGCTGATCTCCTTTGCAAATGACCGTGACACATATTTGTGGACTGGATATCTCTGTGCAATCCTCTTATTTGCTGCGGCTCTTATTCAGTCATTCTGCCTTCAGAGTTATTTCGAATTGTGCTTCAAGCTGGGTATGACTGTACGGACAACCATCATGGCTTCTGTATATAAGAAGGTAAGCAGAACATGTCAGGTATCACCAAAGAAAATCCCCTTAGTAAATATGAGCATTGATTCCAAGATTGAGAAAAATGTGATGGAAATAATAACTAATCTCAATGCTTAATTTTGACTGGCCATACAGCCCCCTTTAGATGTTTCTCTGGAAATTAAATTATGAGAAGTGTGTTCATAGACAATGGGTGTAGAGGCTGCGAGGGAAAAGATTCTGGGGGAGCAGTTTGCAAGCTGTTCTGTTGTTCAGGATCCACCTTGCAGCCCTGAAGGCTTAGTTACCCATGCATCTCTTCCTGCCTCTCTTGACAAGGTGAAATGCTTTGGAGAAGAATATAAGGTCAGAAAAGAAGCTGGTGAAGGGTCTAACTCTTAAAACCACGAACATTTAACTCAAATACTTAATGAAACCCAGCCCAGAGACCTGGTGTATCCATCTCAAATTGCAGTCTTGCCAGAGATCCATCTCCCCAGACCAAATTTCACCTAGCAACTTATTTTTCTAAACTTTCTCAGCTAACCCAACTCTCCTCTGCCTGACTTCTTTTTTCTTTTTATTATGCTTTAAGTTCTGGAATACATGTGCATATCTTGCAGGATTGTTGCATAGGTATACACATTTTGTAAACACATTCATGCTGATTACTGAGTTCTGCAGACTCGGGAGCTTTTTCAGCTTCTTAAGATGATTTTGCTCATCTTCCCTCTGGTACGTTGTTTGTAAGGGTTAACTTTCCCAAGGCAACTGTATGTTCCTCATGTCCTCCATACCAAGATGAAGTCCCGTTTTGCTCCTTAAAAAATGAAAATATAGTAGTTATGATCAGTGACTACAGATTTGAGGGAAAAAATAATACATGAGGAGATAGGTTCCAACCTTTTTACAGGCTGGAATACCAGTTGATTTTCTTCTTATTTTTCTTCCATCACTAGAAAGTTCTATCATAGTGACTTCTCTATGACAGTTCCTACTTTTCTCCTTTGCTTTTCTCTCTAAAAACACCACTGTGTCTTTGTCTCCTCTGAGTAGATGTTGGCTCATTGAGAGACAGTGGCAGATAATCCAAGTATCTTTAGATCAAAAGTCTGATCAAGTCCTTAACTCACAGATACCCCTACACTGGAATTTGTCTTCCCCCAATTGATTTTTTTTTTTTTTTTTGAGACGGAGTCTTGCTCGGTCACCCAGGCGGAGTGCACATGATCTCGGCCCACTGCAACCTCTGCCTCTCGGGTTCAAGCAATTCTCCTGCCTCAGCCTCCAGAGAAGCTGGAATTACAGGCACCTGCCACCACACCTGGCTAATGTTTGTATTTGTAGTAGAGACAGGATTTTGCCATGTTGGCCAGGCTGGTTTCAAACTCCTGACCTCAGATGATCCGCCGGCCTCAACCTCCCAAAGTGCTGGGATTACAGGTGTGAGCCACTGTGCCCAGCCCCCCAGCTGATTTTTAAAATCTCCTTATTCCTTCTGGAGATACTGAGTCTCTGCTGGTTTACAGGTTATGAGGTCACTAACCAGGCTGTCTCAGCCAATGCCAGTAAAGTACACTTCTATAATTTTTTTGTAATTGTGATTATTCATTCACACTATTTTGATTCTTAATAGTCCAGGTTTTGCAACTCTTACAATCAATAAGGAAATTTATAAAATAGAGCCCTCAATGATACTTTTATTCAAATAAATATCACTATTAGTAGAAGAAAATTACTAATTTATATGATAATGCTTCACTACTTCTGAAACATTTTTTACATTCACTATCAATTAATAGCCCTGTGAAATAAGTACATTATCCCTCTTTTAAAGAGAAACATAGGGCTTAGATAATTTCAGTGAGTACGATCACATAGCCAGGAATTGTCCCCAGGCAAGGGCTACTGAGACTAAATTTATTGAAAATAGAAATGTATAGTGATTACCTTGAAGGGCAATTAGATGTTGTCAGGTTTTTGTTTTTGTTTCTTTCCCCCTCTTCCATACCAAAGGGAAGGCACAGCAGTGGGCTGGTTCCTCTAGAACTTTGTGGTCTAACATTTTAGAAAATTTTCCTTCTTTTACTATACAGCCAAGAATCCCGATACGTTCCAAAGAATGTGTTGGTGGACTAAGATGCCAGTAGTGTTCTAGGAGGAAATGGAAGTAGATATCTACGGCCACTTGTAGCCCGCACACTGTCTTTGTAGGAATTAGAAGGTGGCTCTCCTTCTTTTTCTTTTCTTTTTTTTTTTTTTGAGAGAATGCCTCGCTCTTTTGCCCAGGCTGGAGTGCAGTGGCATGATCTCAGCTCACTGGAACCTCCCCCTCCCACATTCAAGTGATTCTTCTGCATCAGCCTCCTGAGTGGCTGGGACTACAGGTGTGTGCCACCACAACCGCCTAATTTTTTTGTATTTTTTGTAGAGACGGGGTTTCACCGTGTTAGCCAGGATGGTCTTGATTTTCTGATCTCATGTCCCCCCTCCTCAGCCTCCCAAAATGCTGGGATTACATGCGTGAGCCACCGCACCCAACCAGTGGCTCTCCTTCTTCTAGAAAGATGCGGGCTACTCCAGATGGTGCCTTGGCGGCATAGTACAAGTTTTCAGTGTTCTGGTACATTTGTACAAGGCATCGTTGTAAGTGGTAGACCTGTGGGTAACAGTCACCTGATCTCTCTAACATGAGTATAGGAAGCCCATACTACAAGATCTAGATAGTGCCTGAAAAATCCTGACAATGCAAAGGTAATTTTATTTTATTTATTTTATGTGTTTATTATTGAGATGGAGTCTTGCTCTGTTGCCCAGGCTGGAGTGCAGTGGCATGATCTCAGCTCACTGCAACCTCCGCCTCCCAGGTTCAAGCAATTCACCTGCCTCAGCCTCCCAAGTAGCTGGGACTACAGGCTTGCACCACCAGGCCCATCTAATGTTTGTGTTTTTAGTAGAAACCGGGTTTCTCCATGTTGGCCAGGCTGGTCTTGAAGTCCTGACCTCAGGTAATCTAGCTGCCTAGGCCTCCCAAAGTGCTCAGATTACAGGCGTGAGCCACCGTGTCCTGCCTACAAAAGTCATTTTACTTCCAAGTATGAACTCTGAAGTTTTCCTCTTCATTCTGAATTCTCTGTCCTTCTTGAGAGTGCTTACAACCTCTTCATAAGAGTATGAGTCCAAATAACATTGCCACACCAAGAGCCTCTGAGGTCAAAATCAATACAAGCTGATTCCCTCCCTCCCTTCTTCTTCCCTCTCTTCCTCCCTCTCTCCTTCCATCCATCCGTTCCTCTCTTTCTTCCATCCTTCAGTATTTGATTCTCTATCATGTGCCACATTAATATAGTTTCTGATGAGGGGAACATCTGTCTATTTCCACTTCTTATGGGAAATAGACAGATGTTCCCCTCATCAGAAACAGAAAAAGAAATAATAATTATGGTTCATTGTGATGAATGTAATGACAAAAGTAAGCTCAGGATATTATAAGAGTACACAGGACAAGTATCTAACCCCAACTTGGGAGTCAGCATGTTTTTCTTACAAGAAGTTACATCTCAGCTGACATCAAAGGATAAATAGGAGTTTTCTGGCAAAGAAGTGTGTGGATGCATAGGGTTGGAAGAAGGTGGGAATAGGAAAAAAGAGTGGTCAAGAATGAGAGAGCACCATGTGTTAAGATTTGAAGACAAGAAGTCACAGTGCCTTGGAAAAGCTGTGTCCATATGGAGCATATCCTTCCATTGTATTCTCACTTGCTGAGCTTCCTCTTCTACTCTCTAGTATCCTTGGCTGTGTCCATGGGTCCCAATTTCAATCTTTATCTTTAGGCATTGACCCTATCCAACTTGGCCAGGAAAAAGTACACCGTTGGAGAAACAGTGAACCTGATGTCTGTGGATGCTCAGAAGCTCATGGATGTGACCAACTTCATCCACCAGCTGTGGTCAAGTGTTCTACAGATTGTCTTATCCATCTTCTTCTTATGGAGAGAGTTGGGACCCTCAGTGTTAGCAGGTGTTGGGGTGATGGTGCTCGTAATCCCAATTAATGGGATACTGTCCACCAAGAGTAAGGCCATTCAGGTAAAGAAAGAGTCACCCAGAAGATACATGCCTTCTTTAATGTCTAAACCCTTTTTCTTACTCTAATTCTTAATGGGAGTTTGGGCAAGGCAAAGCTGGTGGAAGATTTTCTACCATCTCAAATGTACTTGGCTTTCTCTGTCTTCCCTTTTGATCTTCTGACAACTCTTAGGGTTTATATACATTCCTCTGTATTCATGTTAGAGGGAAGAGCCTGACTGGGGAAGGAAGGGCTGCCCTAGAGATGCTGCACATAATTCTTCCATCTTGCTCTGCTGGGCTGCCCTAAGAATAGTGATTTCAGGCCCTGCTTCTCCTTCATAAACCAACCACAGAGAGCAGTCACATGAGCGATCCAAACTGTCAACCTGAGCCCTGGCAATCACCCTACCACCACCAGGTGGGAGGGCTCCATGTAGACAGTGTCCTCAGTCCTGCCAGAAGTCACAGCTTGGGTGGATGAAATTGACAGTGTATGATTTATTCAGCATTTGCTTTTGCATTCCAGTTACAAATAATTGCTTTTAAAATATTTCTTGCATATTTACTTCTCTGAGAACATGAATTAGGGCTCCTGCTCTCATGGATCTTACACTCTACCTGGTGGGGTGGTAAAGAGATAGGCAATACACAAAGAAGAAAAATACCAGTAGAATTAAACATGGTAATGAGATAGGGAGTGAGCGGGTGGTTATTTTCAATGAGTTCAAGGAAGGCCTCTTGGGGAGAGGATGTTTATGCTGAACTCTGAATGACACAAGCCTGACTGTAAAGGAGAAAGCCTTGGCAAGGGCAGGGGAAGAACAGCCCAGGAGGAGGGTAGAGTCAGGCAAGGCCTGTGGGGCAGAAACAAGCTTGGCACATTTAAGGATCAGAAAGAGGATGGGTGTGGCAGAAGTGGAGTGGGCAAAGAGGAGGGTGGAGGGAGGTGAATCCCATCACTGGCACCTCAAGTTCTTACTAAGTGACAGTCACAAAGTAGCAGTGAGGCTTGATGTCTGTAGCAAACCTGAGTCCTCTCTCATGGAAGCATGTTTTGTTTTCCTTTTGCTTTTTTCCTGGCAGGTCAAAAATATGAATAATAAAGACAAACGTTTAAGGATCATGAATGAGATTCTCAGTGGAATAAAGGTGAGAATCTGAGCACAGGTGGCTCTCTGTGGGTAAGGACAGAAGCAGCGGCTCTCTCTTGGCCTTCACAAACCCTGATAGAGGTGATGGATTCCTGCTTCTGGGCCAGTTGTATCACATGACTTTTGTTTCATCATGTCCTCCTGCTCCTCCCAGGTCCTCTGTTGAACCTCGATTTCTATTTATTCACCCTAAATGGCTAGTTTTGTTTTGACAATTTACTGTAGAAGTTTTTAAACATGTAGAAAAGCAGAGACTATCATGAACCCCTATGGACTTTATACCCAGCTCCGGGAATTATCACCATGACCTAACTAGTTTCATCTATAATCCCACTCCCCTCACACTTACTAGATTATTTTGAAGCAAATCTCAGAGATCTTGTCATTTCATTCATAGATACTATGTATGTGTCTCTAAAAGAAGGACTTATTTTTATTTTTATTTTTTTAATTTATTTTGAGATGAAGTCTCGCTGTCACCAGGCTGGAGTGCAGTGGCGTGACCTTGGCTCACTGCAACCTCCACCTCCTGGGTTCAAGTAATTCTCCTGCCTCAGCCTCTTGAGTAGCTGGAACTACAGGCATACGCCGCCACACCCAGATAATTTTTGTATTTTTAGTAGAAATGGGGTTTTACCTTGTTGGCCAGGATGGTCAACACGAGGTCTGTTGACCTCGTGATCCGCCTGCCTCAGCCTCCCAAAGTGCTGGGATTATAGGCGTGAGCCACTGCGCCAAGCCAAGAGGGACTTATTTTTAAACTACAGCCACAATACCATTATCATACCTTTAAAAAAAAAATCAACATTCTTTGATACCATCAAAGTTTTCCAGTTGCCTCATATGTGCCTTTGGTTTGTTTGTTTTGCTGTTGGTTAGTTTGAATAACAAACCAAAAAATGTCCATGCATGGTATTTAATTGATAGTGCTTTTAATCCACAACTCTGTGTGTGTGTGTGTGTGTGTGTGTGTGTGTGTGTGTATGTGTGTGTGTGTTGGTCGTTTCAAAAAAAACTAGGTTATTGTCTTGTTTCCTGTATTTCCTGTAAATTGATAGCTCTGAAGACTTGATTTAGATTTGATTTGGGGGTGGGAGTGCAAGGTGTTTTCAAGTGGTGCTGTGTGCTTCCAAACTGCAGCAATAATAATTTCAGTGGGTCCAGGCAGCGTCAGCCTGATGCAGCCCTTACAAGGTCTCCTGCTAGTCTTCCGCTAGAGCAGTGGTTTGTGACACTGGCAGCACATTAGAATCACCTGAGAAGTTTGAAGTTTGTAAAACCCACTGAGGCTGGGGCCCTACTTCAAACCATTTAAATTGAACTCTCTGGGGGTGAAGCCCAGACATGTATATCTTTTTAAAGTTCCCTGGGTGATTCTAATGTGCCGCCAAGGTGAAAACCACTGTTGTAAGAATTTTATGATCATTGCCTAGATATGTTATTTCATTAGGAATTGTGAAAGAGTAACATTTTTTAATTCTGTTATTCCCTTGACATTGATTAGCTGGAATTTTATGAAGAATTATCTCTCTTCAACTTGTTTGTCACCTTAAAATGAAGTCTGTATGGAATAGGCAGAACAAATGCTTGCTTCTTTCTGTCTATTTACCAGCTTTCACAATAATGCATTTCATCTTCCAGAGGTGACCAATAAATGTCTTTAAGTAAATATTCATGGATTTTAACATTACCCTAAACTTCTTAAAAATGAAACAGAGAAGGCCGGGCGCGGTGGCTCAAGCCTGTAATCCCAGCACTTTGGGAGGCCGAGGCGGGTGGATCACAAGGTCAAGAGATCGAGACCATCCTGGTCAACATGGTGAAACCCCGTCTCTACTAAAAATACAAAAAATTAGCTGGGCATGGTGGCGCGTGCCTGTAATCCCAGCTACTCGGGAGGCTGAGGCAGGAGAATTGCCTGAACCCAGGAGGCGGAGGTTGCGGTGAGCTGAGATCGCGCCATTGCACTCCAGCCTGGGTAACAAGAGCAAAACTCCGTCTCGAAAAAAAAAAAAAAAAAGAAACAGAGACCCCTTTTAACTCCTTGTTCATTCTCCTCACAAAGCTCTGATATATCCTTCTGTGAATGTGGCAACATTAAAACAGGGAGCTGGTTTTGAATGTCAGCTCTGCTACTGGGTAGCTTGATAACTTTCGGCGAGTTCCCTTGCCTCTCTCAGCTTGTTTCCTTATGGTTTAAATGAAGATAATAACTATACAAATTTAAGATATCTAACTCACCTTGATTTGCCCAGAACTTTCCAAGTTTTAGCACTGAAAGACCTGTGTCCTAGGAAGTCCTTTAGTCCTAGGCAAGCTGGAACAGTTAGTCATACTAAGGTTGTTATAAAGATTAAGTGAGATAATATATTTTAAATGCTTTGTACTAGCCGGTCACCGTGGCTCATGGCTGTAATCCCAGACTCTGGGAGGCTGAGGTGGGCAGATCCCGAGGTTAGGAGACCAGGACCATCCTGGCTAACACGGCGAAACCCCGTCTCTACTAAAATTACAAAAAATTAGCCAGGCGTGGTGGCACACGGCTGTAGTCCCAGCTACTCAGGAAGCTGAGGCAGGAGAATTGCTTAAACCTGGGAGGTGGAGTTTGCAGTGAGCCAAGATCATGCCACTGCACTCCAGCCTGGGTGACAGAGCAAGGCTCTGTCTCAAAAAATGAAAATAAATAAATAAATAGGCTTTGTACATAGTAGATTGTCAACAAATACAAGCTACCTTTCTCTAATCATGTTTTATAACCTGGGTTTCTATTCCCCATATTTTGGGGACTATATCCTAAAACATGGGTGGATCAGATACACCTGGTTCCCTTTTGGGGGCAATCATGTGAGCTGTATTCTTTTTTGAATTATTAGATCCTGAAATATTTTGCCTGGGAACCTTCATTCAGAGACCAAGTTCACAACCTTCGGAAGAAAGAGCTTAAGAACCTGCTGGCCTTTAGTCAAATACAGTGTGTGGTGGTATTCATCTTACACTTAACTCCAGTCCTGGTGAGTAGCAGAGGGGTCCATGGGCTGGGTGTTCATCTGGATCCGCATCAGCTTCCTGAAGAGGAAGTTCTACTTTTGATAGACTAGCTGGCACCTCTAGGCCTGACTACAAGATCCAGGGGACTTGTCCTCCTTCTAACTGCCCCATGCTACTTTTCCTCCTTTGTATCACACCCGCAGCTCTAGTGTACTGTACAGTGGCCTGGCAGCCCAGAGCAACTTTTCAGGATGCACAGCAAGAATGTGGTATCCAGGAAGATTGGCTTAGGAGGTATTGTCTTTGGGGAGGCGATGTAGGTCTATAGTGGAAGGAACACTGATATAGGAGTCAGGAGACCTGAGCGCTGGTCCTAGTAATCCATTAAATGACTCTGTGACCTTGGGGAAGATATTTTCTCCTCTTCTGGGCTCAGTTTTCTCATCTGTAACCTGAGGAAGCTGGATCATCCTTAAGGTACTTTCAACTCTGATATATGGTATTCCTGTAACTTAGCACAATGCAGCTTGGTCCCTTTTACGAATAAATTGCTCATGACCTTGCCCTTTCCAGGTATCTGTGATCACATTTTCTGTTTACGTCCTGGTGGATAGCAGCAATATTTTGGATGCACAAAAGGCCTTCACCTCCATTACCGTCTTCAATATCCTGCGCTTTCCCCTGAGCACACTTCCCATGATGATCACCTCCATGCTCCAGGTAGGTTGGCATTCTCACTGCTGACTGCCCGTCTCTGGTTAAAAGCCTTGGAGTCCAGAATGACTGGTCGTCACATCCCATGTCTAACTTTTGCTGGTAAACTTTCAGTGAAACAGATCTGTTTGGTCTCTGGAGACCAATGGTTTGATCTTAATAATATGAGTTTTCTGAGCCCCAGTTTATCTGACTATAAAATGAGGATAATCATACCAATCTCATCTACCTCACAAGGAGACAATCTTGTGAATGCATTTAGTGAGATTATGATGTTTAGTCCTGGTATAGGGAACATTTCCCAGCCCAGTTTCTCCCATATTTTTCCAAGGCTCTTAAGGTGTTAAGATAGCTAGCATTAGGCAAATATGGCACAAAGGGAGAAGAAACACCCTCCCTTTGCATAAACCCATGTGGTGGTCAAACCAAATGCAAATTGGGAGCCTCAAACTGTCAGAAAATGAGTTTGGAGTTTAGGAAACCTTGGATGGACCAGAGGGAATATCTGGGTTCTGAAAACTGAGCGTAGTCACTGATATGCGACACATATCAGATCTGCAGAGGAAGGTCACAGGACAGGCAGCAGACTGATGAAAAGGCCTGAATGAGAGGGGTGGAGTGTGGTGACTTGCATTTATCCCAGAAGTGGCTGGCTTTAGAGAGCTCAGACCATGTGAAAAAGAAGGCCTCCCTGTCCTAGAGGGTGTAAAGAAAGGGTGACATATTTGGCAGGTAAAGAAGCAACAGGATCTTTTTAGATACAATTTATTGCATAAACAGCAAAAGCAAGATCAGCAAAGGTATCAGCTCTTTGCATTCCTGGTCCTCAGCATGACACCGAATCAAAAAAGGGTCAGATGATGGCAAGGCACAGTGGCTCTTGCCTGTAATCCTAGCACTTTGGGAGGCTGTGGCAGACAGATCACCTGAGGTCAGGAGTTTGAGACCAGCCTGGCCAACATGGTGAAACCCCATCTCTACTAAAAATGCAAAACTTAGCCAGGTGTGGTGGCATGCACCTGTAGTCCCAGCTACTCAAGAGGTTGAGGCACGAGAATCACTTGAACCTGGGAGGTGGAGGTTGCAGTGAGCCAAGATCACGTCCTTGCACTCCAGCCTGGGTGACAGAGCGAGACTCCATCTCAAAACAAAACAAAACAAAAGGGTCAGATGGTGATGCAAGGTGAGCAGTGGGTTACTCTGTTTTTGAGGAGCTGATCCATGCAGCAGCTAAGTGGTTTTATAGACTGCTTTTGTACCCTAAGGAGGGAACAGGCAGAATAGCCTAAGGCTTCATCAGAGCCTGGGTGGCAATGAAAAGCCATCTCATGACACCCTCCTTGGAAGAGAGGGAAGTAGGTGAGAAACATCCTTGTAGAAGCGCCTCAAAATCTTCCCAAGTTCTCAAGCTCCAGGGAGACTGCAGGGTATTCTGCCAACACTCAGGTCACCTGCAGTTTAAGCTTTAGCTATCTGGCCTATGTGAAGTGTGAAGGGTCCCCCTGATGCCATAGCCAGTTCCTCTGCAGAGGCTCCCAGGAGTGGCTTAGCTAGGATGCTGGATGGGCATCAGGCATAGACTCAGTTAAATAAGAGAAAGCCAGGGGCCTAGTTACCAGAACTGGATAGAAGTTAAGCTTTTGTCTTAGAAGGTAGGAGGTAGTTTCTGGAACTAGAGCCAAAGACTCCAGAATAAGTTCACCTGTCTGTGATGAAATGGCTTCCAGGGCTGAGTTCAGGGGAGATTAGGAGATGCTAGCTATGCCAAATAGAAAATCATGGGCTAGTGACAAAGTCAAAATCTTCCTGCTTGTGCTTGTTACTGACTTTAGTTCTTGAGAGCCTTTGTGTTCTTCTCTAGGCCAGTGTTTCCACAGAGCGGCTGGAGAAGTACTTGGGTGGGGATGACTTGGACACATCTGCCATTCGACATGACTGCAGTTCTGGTAAATAAATTTGGAAGTTGCTTCCCAAACTTATTCCCAGTGCTGGGCCAGAATTTTGATAATACAAGAGCTTAGCAGCAGCAAACTGAAAGGGAGAGCTCAGAGATTTGTCTTGAGCCTATGTTCGCATAAGATACATACTGTTCTTACTTGAATTATGTTTACACTTAGAGCAGATTGCTTAACTAGATTGCTAAGTAAATCTGGACCAGCTCATCTGAGGATAAGCAGGGAATCCCGCAAAGGATCCGGAAAGCAGAAGTCAGGATGTAGCCAAATGTATGGGATTGGGAAGGTAGCCTGGAGTGAAAGAATACTCAGATTCTGAAGGTTTAAAGACTGGGGGCCAGCCATGGCCAGAGTGGGCAGTAGGACTGGAATCCATGATGTGGGGGGATTTATATAAGGAGAGGGAATTCATATAAGGGGACTGGGCAACAGAGGGCTGGAGAGTATACTCAGAGTATCTGTAGGTCAAGAATCTGGGCTACCAACAGGCTTGGGAGTTCTGAATCAAAAACAACTTTAGACTGGACGCAGTGACTCACACCTATAATCCCAGCCCTTTGGGAGGCTGAGGTGGGCAGATCGCTTGAGTCCAGGAGTTCGAGACCAGCCTGGGCAACATGGCAAAACCCTATCTCTGCTAAAAATACAAAAATTAGTGGGGCGTTGTGGTGGGTGCCTGTAATCCCATCCACCTGGGGGTCTGAGGCAGGAGAATCTCTTGAGCCCAGAAAGTTGAGGTGGCTATCAGCTGAGATTGCACCACTGCACTGCAGCCTGGGTGACAAAGTGAGACCCTGACTCAAAGGAAAAAAAAAAGTTCATATGCAGGTCACTTCCGGTCTCATTCCAGATTTTTTTTGCCTCTTGTTAGTGTAGTAGCCAGCACTTAGCAGAAACAATCCTGAGAGCTGAGGAAGAAAGTAGAGAGAGATACATGAGGGCTGAGAAAGGGCAGATAGTCACATGGGGACCTACATTTGACTAAAAGAGGGAGCTTTTTCTCAACAGACAAAGCTGTGCAGTTTTCAGAGGCCACCTTTACCTGGGAGCGTGATTTGGAAGCCACAATCCGAGAGTGAGTTGCCTTCTTTCCATCCTAATGTTCTTTAGCATTCTCTTTGCCTGGACTATTCTCAGAAAATTCCATGTAATAGAATACGTGGGGAAATGAGCTATGTGCATGGATTCAGTTAGATACTAGTGCAGGATAAACACCTGGAGAGATGAACTGAAGGCAAAGATTCTCAGCCTCTTACCCTGATAACTGCATTCGCCACCCTGCTTTCCTACTATGAGTATGAATGTCCAGCTGAGATCCCATGAAGACATTTGTTGTGCAGATTGTGGACAGAGGTAGTGCGAGGTTGGTAGGTGGCCTGTTTCTCTGGGTGTGGTGGAAGATACACACAAGAACCTGAATTCAGTATAAGTTCATTCATTCAAGAATAGCAGTCAGGGGCCGGGCGCGGTGGCTCAAGCCTGTAATCCCAGCACTTTGGGAGGCCGAGGCGGGTGGATCACGAGATCAAGAGATCAAGACCATCCTGGTCAACATGATGAAACCCCGTCTCTACTAAAAATACAAAAAAATTAGCTGGGCATGGTGGCACGTGCCTGTAATCCCAGCTACTCAGGAGGCTGAGGCAGGAGAATTGCCTGAACCCAGGAGGCGGAGGTTGCGGTGAGCCAAGATCGCGCCATTGCACTCCAGCCTGGGTAACAAGAGCAAAAACTCCGTCTCAAAAAAAAAAAAAAAAAAAAGAATAGCAGTCAGGAACATTGGAATCTGGCTTCTTTCCCCAAACTGGACATTGGGAGCTACCTCTATATGATTCTATTTCAGATCTAGAGTTTCACATCAAAATAACCCATTCACATACCCTACCGTGTAGGCTACCTCCTCTGCTGTGCAGGTATGCTGCCCTAAGCCAACTTCCTCTAGCCCTGATGTTGCACATAGTGTGTCTCTTAAGCACCATATATAGTAGCACACCCAATTCATCCACTGAACACAGTACACGGAGTACATCAGGAGCCTGAGTAGACCATATCTTTCTTTCTTCACAACTGAGCACATCTTATCGTCTTCTTACTATACCCCTGACTTCCCACTCCTCTATCTTGTTCCTATAGCCTTTAACATGGACTCAGAGCTAGCCCCAGGATGAGTTGGGGCAGGAGCATCTTCTCTGGACCCTCCTAACCCAACAGGTTTCCTTTGCAGAGAAGAAACTGGGCAGGGACTCCACTTTACTGCTATAGGTCTGGAATAAGTTCATCTCAATAGGCAGGTTCAGAAAGACTGGGAACAAGTTCCGAATGTTCCTGATGTTCTAGAAACTCAAATAATGTCCATGTGTCAGCCCTGACACACAGAGTTTCTGGGAACCTATCCCAGTATGGGCTCCAACCCAGACATAATCAGATACTCAGGAGAAGGTCCAGGGAATCTACTTTCAGCAAATGTTCCAGGTGACACATTTAGTAGCTAAATTTGGGAAATGTTAATCTAGTCTAATCCCATTAGTAAGAAAGGAGGGGTCCTTAGTCAAAAGGAAGTGACCTTCCACGATAACATAGCCCAGCAGTGTCAGATTTGGGATTTGAACCAGGCCAGGTCTCCAGGCCCCCACTAGGGTCTTACTCAATGGGTAGGCATGTTAGTTCTAGGAGAATTTTATCATTGGAAATGCACATTTGATACAAACAGCTTATAAATGAATTGGATAAATTAGGGCTCATTCTCTAGCCTTTTAGAGCTTAAAAAAAAAAGTATTAAAGAAGCACATTGGGGTCTTATATATCCAAGGCAAATTTTCCAATCTTGAGGGGGAATCTCCTAATACCAGACTTCATGGAGACTCAGAGAAGTGACTTGAACTGCTCTTCAATACCTGACCCCTGCTATCTCCTTCAAAGACATTATTCTCTTTCAGTGTGAACCTGGACATTATGCCAAGCCAACTTGTGGCTGTGGTGGGCACTGTTGGCTCTGGGAAATCCTCCCTGATATCAGCCATGCTGGGAGAAATGGAAAATGTCCACGGGCATATCACCATCAAGGTAAGAGGCAATGCCAATGAAGAAGCCTTCTGACTCCCGAATGTGGGCCACTTTGTGCTTTCGCCTTACTGGGGAGAAGGCACTGAGGGCTAGTAGATGAGGCCTTGGAGACATCTGGTAGATTTATGGACTGTGATCCTTTGTCCCGTTTCAGCTTTGTATAATCAGTTGCTGGGGGTAAGATTTGGGAATCTGCATTTTTAATAAACTCTAAAGGTGATTCTCATATGCATACTACAGTGTGAAAACTGTTGACTAGAGAGGTCTTCCTTCAAAGTATAAGCATTTCTGGCCGGGCGAGCCCAGTGGCTCGTGTTTGTAATCCCAGCACTTTGAGAGGCCAAGGCAGGTGGATCACCTGCAGTCAGGAGTTTGAGGCCAGCCTGGTCAACATGGTAAAACCCCAACTCTACTAAAAATACAAAACTAGCTGGACATGGTGGCACATGCCTGTAATCCTATCTACTTGGGAGGCTGAGGCAGGAGAATCACTTGCGCCCAGGAGGCAGTGGCTCCAGTGAGCCAAGATTGTGCCACTGCACTCCAGCCTGAGCAACAGAGCAAGACTCTGTCTCAAAAAAAATAAAAATAATAAAAAAAATTTTTAAAAAGGTATTTCTGCTATGTCTATGTATTTGTTTCTGAAATATTATGTGTTCTGCAAAACTGTAGAATAAAAATAACAGAATCTAGGGGGAAAGAGTTGTAATAGATCACTAAAAATGTATATAACTTTGTAACCAAAGTACCAACAAAAACAATACCAACCTTAACAATGACATCTAGAGCAATAAAAACAGGAGCATTGTAAAATTAGCACTGGCATTTGCACCCAACATTACAATTACTCTTAGGCCTCTCTCTTCTTCCCTTGAGAGCTAAATCTTGGATGGCATTTGCTTCCAAAATAAAAATCTGGTGTAGGGTATTGTCTTCTTCATCAATTACAATTTTTTTTTTTTTTTTTTTTTTTTGAGAGGGAGTCTCTCTCTGTCATCCAGGCTGGAGTGCAATGGCACAATCTCAGCTTACTGCAACCTCCACCTCTTGGGTTCAAGGGATTCTCCTGCCTCAGCCTCCCAAATAGCTGGGATTACAGGTGTGTGCCACCATGTATATTATTCCACAATATACAGACATCATTTCTGGATTTACCAATCACGATTGAACTACTTTGCAATTTTAAAAACATGCACTATAGCAGAGCAGACTACAGATTTAAGTCTGTCTTCTAACTCCTTTTGGGAAGCTTTTTTTGTTGCTACTTCATAACTGGGTTCTTCCTCAAACACAGGCATTTGTTGGTCTCCATCTCTGCTTTTAGTTTGTTTGTTTAAGTTGGAATCTTGCTCTGTCTCCCAGACTGGAGTGCAGTGGTCCAATCTCAGCTCACTGCAGCCTCCGCCTTCTGGGTTCAAGCGATTCTCCTGCCTCAGCCTCCTGAGTAGCTGAGATTACAGACTTGCACCACCACACCCAGCTACTTTTTGTGTTTTTAGTAGAGATGGGGTTTTGTCATGTTGGCCAGGCTGATCATGAACTCCTGACCTCAGGCAATCCGCCTGCCTTGGCCTCCCAAAGTGCTGGGATTACAAGTGTGAGCCACCATGCCCTGCCTTCATCTCTTTTTGGATATAATCTTGCTTCCTAAGATGTCATTTATACAAGGGGTCCCCAACCCCCTGGGTCTCAGACCGGTACCAGCCCATGGCCTGTTGGGAACTGGGCTGCACAGCCGGAGGGGAGCAGTGTGCGAGCATTATCACCTGAGCGCCACCTCCTGTCAGATCAGCAGCAGCGTCAGATTGTCATAGGAGCCCAAACCTTATTGTGAACTGCACATGCCAGGGATCTAGGCTGCATATACTGCCTGATGATCTGAGGTGGAACAGTTTCATCCCAAAACCATCCCCTACCACCACCCCATCCATGGAAAAATTGTCTTCCATGAAACCGGTCCCTGGTGCCAAAAAGGTTGGGGACCACTGATCTATACCGTTTTCTTGACAGTGTTAGCACTTTGTTGGTCCTAGTAAACTCAATTGGGTTTGACTAAAACCCTCTTCTAGAAGCAACGTATACATTTATCATCTAATTTTCAGGATCATGGCTGGAAAGTGATAGTCCAAAAATAGGGGGGACTTTTTTTTTTTTAGATGGAGTCTTGCTCTGTTGCCCAGGATAGAGTGCAGTGGTGTGATCTCGGCTCACTGCAACCTCTGCTTGCTGGGTTCAAGTAATTCTCCTGCCTCAGCCTCCCAAGCAGCTGGGATTATAGGCACATGCTGCCATGCCCAGCTAATTTTTTGTATTTTTAGTAGAGCTGGGGTTTCACTATGCTGGCCAGGCTGATCTCAAACTGCTGACCTCATGATCCGCCTGCCTCAGCCTCTCAAAGTGCTGAGATTACAGGTGTGAGCCACTGCGCCCAGCCCCAAGAGGGGACTTTTAATCCTGAAGAGGATATTGAGTGCTGTCAGTGGAATAACTATAAGCACATGAATAAATATCGGATCCTCAGTCATCCTCTCATGCAGTTCTTCAAACTTAAGCTCCATTTGTTTCTCCCTTTCTCCTGCCACCCCATCCTTCAACTCTGCATTTCTGGAAGTGCAGCTGTAATGTGGTCTGATCCTTTTTTATCTAGGGCACCACTGCCTATGTCCCACAGCAGTCCTGGATTCAGAACGGCACCATAAAGGACAACATCCTTTTTGGAGCAGAGTTGGATGAAAAGAGGTATCAGCAAGTACTAGAGGCCTGTGCTCTCCTCCCGGACTTGGAAATACTGCCTGGAGGAGATTTGGCTGAGATTGGAGAGAAGGTATTTGGGATAACAAGGGATCTTCAAGGGTGAATGCATATAGAAGAGAAAAAGTGAGGATGGTGGTGAAGAACTAACTACATGGGGGTAATGTGTTGATCAATTTAGGTAGTCATATTTGGAACAAACACCACAAATCATGTGTTTGTACTAAGTGGCCACAATAGTCTATGTAAATAACTCAGAATTTTAGAACTTTCTGCTTGGAAGCAGATATAAAAATTATATAATTTAAATCAAAGATGATGAGGCAAAGGTAATGAGAAGTTTATAGTAACTGGCCCAAGGTTGATCTCACAGGTGGCGGGGCAGAAGTGGGACCAAAGTCTAGGTGTCCCGATTCTACTTCTGTGCTAGCGAGGCCAAAGAAAGATTCTACTCATTTGCTTTGAACACTTAGATGTTTATTGTGAATTATCTTCTGATATTATTAAAGGCCTTTCTTAAAAATAGATTTTGAATGACTATATTGTATTAATTATACAGATCTAGCATAATTTATTTTCAAATCTCTTTTTTTTTTTGAGATGGAGTCTCACTCTGTTGCCCAGGCTGGAGTGCAGTGGCATAATCTCTGCACTCTGCAACCTCTACCTTCCAGGTTCAAGTGATTCTCCTGCCTCAGCCTCCTGGGTAGTGGGGATTATAGCTGTTTCAAATAAATAACTTTAGGCCAATAATTAAAGATTACATCCAACTTACCATTTTCTAGCAGATAATTTGCTTATTTAATAGTCTGCCACCACTCCTAGCTAATTTTTAAAATATTTTTAGTAGAGACAGGGTTTTACCATGTTGGTCAGGCTGGTCTCAAACTCCTGACCTTATGATTTGCCAGCCTCAGCCTCCCAAAGTGCTGGGATTACAGGTGTGACCCACCACACCCAGCCTATTTTGAAATTTCTAAATAAAGACCCTGCATATTTAGAATATTTTCATCCTCCCTCCCCATTACTGGAAATAAATGTAGCAATCTTTGGGAATAAAAATATTGAGATGTTAGAAGATTAATGAAGATACAGCTCTAGAGTAATTTGGTTCATTAATTAGCATACACTTATTGAGCACCTACTATGTGCCAAACATTGTTTTAAGTACTGGGGTTACATCCATGAACAAAACAGAGAAGACCTCTGCCCTGGTATAGCTCTACCTTCTCATGGGGTGACAAGCAACAAAACTATTAAATAAGCAAATTATCTGATAAAAAATGGTAAGTTGGACATAATCTTTAGTTATTGGCCTAAAGTTATTCGTTTGAAACAGGTCTTTATTTGTATATAGGAACTTGTAAGATTTTTAAGTCCTTGACAAATTTCTTCCTTTTACCCTTCCCTATTAGATTCTGTGAAGGTGGGTCGAAGGAGTAGTGCTTAATAGAAATTATTTTCTTCTTCAGGGTATAAATCTCAGTGGGGGTCAGAAGCAGCGGATCAGCCTGGCCAGAGCTACCTACCAAAATTTAGACATCTATCTTTTAGATGACCCCCTGTCTGCTGTGGATGCCCATGTAGGAAAGCATATTTTTAATAAGGTCTTGGGCCCCAATGGCCTGTTGAAAGGCAAGGTGAGAAATCATTTAACATGATGAAGATACAAAGGTAGGGTGGGAAGGAGAGGGGAGGACATGTCTGGCAAGTAAGACAGGGAAGATGGTGGACATACGGTAATCAACACAACTTCATGTTATTTTTATAGACTCGACTCTTGGTTACACATAGTATGCACTTTCTTCCTCACATGGATGAGATTGTAGTCCTGGGGAATGGCACAATTGTAGAGAAAGGATCCTACAGTGATCTCTTGGCCAAAAAAGGAGAGTTTGCTAAGAATCTGAAGACATTTCTAAAACATACAGGCCCTGAAGAGGAAGCCACGGGTACGTAAGGAGGATTGGGACAAGATAGAACGTGGGCCATGGTGGGAATGGTAACCCAATATCTACTTCCTGAACTGTTCAGTATCCAGTGAACTAGATTTAGACGCGAACTACTCAGAGATTCAAACTCCGCTTTCTGGGTTCTGAGTCTCTGTGAGGAGACATAGAAACTGAAACTCTAAGCCTGGGCCGAACTGGTGGTTTATCCTGCTCATCTGATGTCTGACAGGCAATCAAAGGACTCTCTTTAGAAGGGTACACCTGAAAGTCTGAGTGAGTAACAACACTTGTGAAAGGAACACCAGTGGCACAAAGGTCCCTCTTGTGGGGGTGCCATGCTCCTATTGACTTGAGTCACACATGTCACCCTATCTACCCCAAATCCATGAAAACCAGTTCCTGGATAGCTTCATGGGCTGGCACCATTAGTGTACTGCAAAATTCTTTATAAATCCTAACAAAGGGATTTTGATTACTATACCAAAACCACTGGGTGATTGAACCAGAAAAAAATTATGGCAGTTGCATAGTCTCAGAGTATACCATAGAAACAGCCTCCAATATCACCACCATTGAGTTCACCAGTTAGCCCTACTCAGCAGTGGAACCCTGTTACTGTGACCTTTCCCAAGGACCTGCCAACAGCAGTCCTGTGCGTAGATCTGGTTATCACCCTCAAGTGGTTGTCACCAGCAGGAGTTCAGGTCTGAGACAGCAAGGACAGGAGGGTGCAGGGGCCATTCCAGGAATCAGTCAGATAAGGGAGTAGCTACACAGTCTATAAGTAACAGCATGTTCTGACTGTGAGGTGAGGACATGTGATGGCTTAAAACCACCCTGGGAAGCCCTAGAGTTTGAAAGAAAAATCTAAGACAGGGCAGGCTGCTAGGCTGCTGGTTTTCATGACTACTATGATTGTACGGCTGTTGGTTTTCTAGACTATAGCAGCCAAGGAGAGGGGGACAGAAAGAGAGTAAGTTAAACTGTCACCAAGTTTACTGTTCTTACTAAGTTTCAGCTCTTTCAAAAAAAACAAAAAAGCAAATGCTCCTGGGATAGTTGCAAGCCTTTGGTTAATTTCAGAGCTCTGGAAAAGTTGACTTTGACAATTTTTGGTCATTATCCTGATTGCTTTATGGAGGAGTAGATCTCTGGAGGTCCCTATTCTGCCATTCCCACTGATGCCCACACTGTGTCTTTTATTGTATCGTATTGTACTGTATTTTCAGGGTATGTCTTTTAAGTGTTTTAAATTAATACAAGTTTGTTAAATTATTTGAATTTCAAGATGAGCATTTTCTTTTCTTTTTTGAGAAAGAGTCTCACTCTGTTGCCCAGGCTGGAGTACACTGGTACAATCATGGCTCATTCTTAACCTCCCATGTTCAAGTGATCCTCCCACCTCAGCCACCCAAGTAGCTGGGACCACAGGTGTGCGCCACCAAACCCTGCTAATTTTTAAATTTTTTTTGTAGAGATAGGGTTTCCCTATGTTGCCCAGGGTGGTTTCAAACTCCTGGGCTAAAGTGATCCTCCTGCCTTGGCCTTACAAAGGGCTGGGATTACAGGTGTGAGCCAGCATACCCAGCCAAGATGAGCATTTTCTTCTTTTTTAATTTTTATTTATTTATTTTTTTTTGCAGTTCCATCACCTGAGCTACACATGTGGATGAGCATTTTCAATTTACAATCACCTCTTTAGTCAATTCTGAGAATGTGACTCTTCTATTTGTCTACCATAATCCTTAAAAGCTCTTTCCTCCTCCAAAGAAATCTGGGCGTTTCTAGGAATTTTCTTCTCTTTTTTCACCATTTTCTCTTCCAGTGAAATATTAATCCATCTCTCTTTTATCCTGATATTTCTTAATAACAAGATGTACTAATAACTAGTATTTATGGAATGAAGTATTCCATCCTGTATGTACATCTGCGATCCCTTACTGAAACCAGCAAGATCAGAGACAGCTTCTCTCTCCTTGTTCATAGGACTGACAGGGCTCTTTGCAGCTATTTCCCTAACCTCTAGTGTGTCTCCCTAGTCCATGATGGCAGTGAAGAAGAAGACGATGATTATGGGCTGATATCCAGTGTGGAAGAGATCCCTGAAGATGCAGCCTCCATAATCATAAGAAGAGAGAACAGCTTTCATCGAACACTTAGCCGCAGGTTGGCCATCTATTCAGCTGGCAGCCCTCATCAGCTCTGTATTTCCACTCGATCTTTCTCCTTTTCTTCCTGGGCTTTTCCTGTGAGGGTTAACACCATAGACACTCCCAGCTCTTCCTTTGCTTCTTGTATGAGCCGGGGGTTGGAGGGAAAGATTGAGATTGTGTCATTTTCCCATGATCATCTCTCCTGAAATGCGCTTTGATGCCAGCTGAGTGACTGTGACATCTGCTTGCAAGGAGACCCCTCAGGATTCACCTACATGCTCAGGGAGGCTTTCCTCTCTCAGTTCTAGGTCCAGTGGAAGGCATCTGAAGTCCCTGAAAAACTCCTTGAAAACTCGGAATGTGAAGAGCCTGAAGGAAGATGAAGAACTAGTGAAAGGACAAAAACTAATTAAGAAGGAATTCATGGAAACTGGAAAGGTGAATACCACACGAAAAAGTAGCATTTGAGGTATTATAAGGCTTAGAATCCAAAAATGCTTCATGTTAAATGAAAATTGAATACATACTTACAGGAGCAATATGTCCTCTGTCCTTTGCAAATCTTCAGATTCATTACTAACATGTTAGCAGAGGCGGTGGGCTTTCTGCCAAATCATATTTCCATAAAAAATGACATGTTTCCCATGAATATGCTCATCCCATACTTCATGAATGTTTGATTCCATTCTGGTGTGTGGAGGAACAGGAAAGCTCAGACCCAGAGTACATAATTCAAATTAATGAAACTTAACCACAAATTTTAAGGTCGGCAGTAGAACCCCATCATCTGCTCCACTCTGATATTTTGTGTGTTTATTTTAGAGACAGGGTCTCACTATGTTGCCCAAGCTGGACTAAAACCCGGGGCTCAAGAGATCGTCCCACCCAAGCCTTCTGAGTAGCTGGGACTACCAGGCATTCTACTGTGCCTGGCTTGTCCCAATCTATTTTTATATCTTCTCTTAAATGCCTTTAGCTCCGATGGTTATTTACCCTGCATTGTATTTCGACATTGTTCTATTATCCTTCCTGGCACAGTACAGAAATGGTGACCACAGACTACCAAAATTTGCTACCTGCTACCCACATTTCCTGGGGACTCCACTTCTCCTTGTACTTGGCATTCTAGGTGATTCCTTATCGAAAGCCATTAGGGAGTTCTACTAATATTGAGGTGGGGACTTTGCAGGTGAAGTTTTCCATCTACCTGGCGTACCTACGAGCAATAGGATTGTTTTCGATATTCTTCACCATCCTTATGTTTGTGATGAATTCTGTGGCTTTTATTGGATCCAACATCTGGCTCAGTGCTTGGACCAGTGACTCTAAAACTTTCAATAGCACCAACTATCCAGCATCTCAGAGGGACATGAGAGTTGGAGTCTACGGAGCTCTGGGATTAAGCCAAGGTATGTCTGATGGCTATGTCATCTTATAGAATCTGTCTGGACCCTGTACTTTTCCTGGACTGAGGAATGCATTTGCCATTATGTCCTGGGCACAGGTCTTCAGGGATTTCTGTGCATGGTGCTAACAAAACTGCTTCCATTTTTAGGTATATGTATTTTCATAGCACATTTCTGGAGTGCCTATGGTTTTAACCATGCATCAAATATCTTGCACAAGCAACTGCTGAACAACATCCTTCGAGCACCCATGAGATTTTTTGACACAACACCCACAGGCCGGATTGTGAACAGGTTTGCTGGCGTAAGTATCTCAAGGACTGTCAGGTGGTATGTTTATATACTGAGGATCTTTCTGACAGGGAGGAATTATCATGTCCCCCTAACAACACTATCCAGTTCCAGTTCTTATGTCCACTCAACATGCAAGTGTGTCTTGAATAGCTGCTGTGAGCGCACAAGGATCCTGGAGATTCAGGGATGAACATCTCTGAACCTTCAGGTAGCCCAGCATCTAGTAAAGAAGACAGCCAAGGAAGTGAAGGATTATAATAGAATGTAGTAAAGCCAGAAACAACAGTGTGGAAAGAGGTGGTCTGGGAGTACAGGAAAAAAGGCACTAGCCCAGCCTGGGTGATAAAGGTGGGAAATGTCAGAAAAGGTGGGACTTAAGTCACAGAAGCAAGCCAGGGAGATGGCGAGGGTTAGGGGCAGGGATGGCAGTAGAGCAGGGAGAGGATTATTCTGCAGATGAAGGAACATAAATAAAAGCATTGTCACCACCTGTGACAGGAAATACAAGGGATAGTAGGATAACCCTTTGCTTGGCCTCTGCCTCCATTTCTGAAACTTCTACCTTGAATGCTTTAAGAATGAGTAAATTTGGTCTGGACTGTGGAATAGAGCCATCAGTGATTTTAAGAAGTTCTCAGAGCCGGGCGCGGTGGCTCAAGCCTGTAATCCCAGCACTTTGGGAGGCCGAGGCGGGTGGATCACGAGATCAAGAGATCGAGACCATCCTGGTCAACATGGTGAAACCCCGTCTCTACTAAAAATACAAAAAAGTAGCTGGGCATGGTGATGCATGCCTGTAATCCCAGCTACTCAGGAAGCTGAGGCAGGAGAATTGCCTGAACCCAGGAGGTGGAGGTTGCGGTGAGCTGAGATCGCGCCATTGCACTCCAGCCTGGGTAACAAGAGCGAAACTCCGTCTCAAAAAAAAAAAAAAGAAGTTCTCAGATATTGTTTCCATCTACTACAGATCCTGGAACCCTTGGCATTCATTCACTCATTCATTCAACAATGTTTATTGAGCGCTTTCTATGAGCCAAGTACTGTACTAGGCACTGGGGCACTCAATGAATGAAGATGATAGATGTCTCTCTTCCATGGGCCAGACCTGACACATTGATTTTTTAATGCATTTGAGATGGAAATTCAGGAACAGAGGCAGAGATCAGGCAATTCTGAATGATAAGTAACTATCACCAGCACAGTTTTTAGCCCTCTGCTTGTGGAGCAGGTCTGGACTCTTGTTTGTTGAGTCTTGGGGCAGATATAGAAAATAGAGCTCACAGTCCACAGCCAGGTTCTGGGGACACAGTAACTGCTTCAAAAGCAGGCCGGTAAGACCACTTCAAAAGGTGGTCTCCCTGTGTCACCTTTCTCTGGGGCAGAACCAGTGGGCATGACGTCACTAGCGACAACTTCATTGGCCTTTCTGCTCTTTACTAGAACCTAAAGAACACTCAATTTTGGGTGAGAAATTTCTCATAGTAATTTTGCAAAGATCACAGTTTTCCCCATGTTGTAATATATATAATCTTCTGGGGAAGAGAACCCTGAGGTTTTCTGTGAGTTACTTAGGCAACAGTCATAGTTTGAAGACTGCTTTTGCATGAAAAGGGAAACTGTCATTAATTAGATAGTAAGTTTTGTTGGGGAGGTGGCTCAGGCCTATTAAGGGGAGTTTGAACGAGGGGCCTCTGGAATTAATGGCTGAGTCTTTAAGCAGGGACGAGTGAAGGAAGGAAAGATGGAAACTCTGTGCCAGGTAAGGGTCAAAAGTAATTTACATAGAACTGATAACTGGTAAAGGTTTCTTTTATCTGCCAACTGTGGATATAGTTATTTGCATGCTTACATGACTTTGGGAAAGGTAGGTTAGACTCAGGAGTCATCCATGATTCAGAGCTTTCTTGGAAGACCGTTATCCCTGATCTAGTTTGAGAAATTCCAGAGATAATTTAAACTCACTTTGGTACTCATATATTACTAATCAAAGAATCAACAGAATCCTCAGAAATCTAGGCAAGTGCAACCCAAAATATAACCAAGCTTCTTGAGTGTTCTTCAAACCATCCATCCATTCATTCATTTTCTCATTTGTTCATTTATTTCACATGACACAAAGGCAACAGATGCATCTGTCCCCGCTGGTTTACTTGGTTAGAACACTGTCCAGTTAGGGCTCACATTCAATCCCAGCTTCCTTCCTGTCAGTACTCTATGCCTGGCAGAGGAAGCAACTTCCTGGGTATCAGTGAAGAGTGGGCCTTGTTGACTAGATCCTCCAAGTAAATGTTTATCAAATGCCTGTTATGTGCCAGGCTCTGTTCTAGGTACTCAATGGAATTAGGATCTGTGTCAAGTTAGAATAATTGAATTGGCTTAGTTATGGGAGAAGAATTTACCCATAAGGCTGTATTAGCTTACAATGATTATGAATGGTTTAATAAATCTGACAAATGGGAATTTCACTGAGAAGCATGAAAACCTTTACCAAATCTGTTGGTAAAGGTAAAGGATGACTGCCATTATCTGTTTGTAGGGATTTTGATAAATGAAGAAATTTTTTTTTTTTTTTTGAGACAGTCTCACTCTGTCACCCAGGCTAGAGTGCAGTGGTGCGATCTCGGCTCACTGCAACCTCTGCTTCCTGGGTTCAAGAGATTCTCCCACCTCAGATTCTCGAGTAGCTGATATTACAGGCATGCACCACCACGGCCAGCTAATTTTTGTATTTTTAGTAGAGACAGGGTTTCACTTTGTTAGCCAGGCTGGTCTCAAACTCCCAACCTCAGGTGATCCGCCCTCCTCGGCCTCCCAAAGTACTAAGATTACAGGTGTGAGCCACTGCACCTGGCCTAAATGAGGAAATTATGGAAATGAAATTGGTTACTGAGGTGAGCAGTGCAGCCTCTTGCAAATGAATACAATAAAATGATTACATGAAGGAGTACAGGGAACACACACAATCCAACATATTCCGTGCTAGAACAAGGAAGATGTAAACTATCTTAGGAAGACTTTGATAATGGTGTGTGTCTCCTAATTGTTTTCCTAGGATATTTCCACAGTGGATGACACCCTGCCTATGTCCCTGCGCAGCTGGATTTTATGCTTCCTGGGGATAATCAGCACCCTTGTCATGATCTGCATGGCCACCCCCATCTTCGCCATCGTCATCATTCCTCTTGGCATTATTTATGCAGCTGTTCAGGTGGGTTTGGAAATGGCTAAATCATCTTTCCTCTCTATTTATAAAGGTCCAGCCTATTTCCTGAGAATCTTCTCTTTGGTTCATTGCTAGTCACTCATTCCCCCAGCACCTTTGCCCATTTAGTCATACATTGGCATATCCAGGAGCCCACAGGCCACTGTCTGAAGCTGGAGTGAGAGCATCAATGGGTGGACCATTCATGACAATGTCATCCTAACTGCTGCCGACCTCCCACTCCCTGGAAGCTTAAGTGGGATAGATTTATGTTTGGATCCAAGACCACTTTGAGATTGGCTCTGGACACAGTCTTGCAGCTCCATAGAACCCCCATGACAATGAAGTCGGTTCCGGAAGAGCCATGGTGTGGTGCTTCCTTGGTGGACTTTGGACAATCATAGCTGCTTGGAGATGTCTCTCAGCAGCAGCTGAGTCTATCTTTTTACTTCATTGAAGTTCTAGTTTCATTGAGGTGTCCATGGGTACTTTAGGCTCAATTCCAGTGAATGTGCAGCTTGAAAGCAAAACAGGAAAACTGGAACTAATGGAAGGAACCCTATTCCTGCAATAAAATGAATGGGAGAGGGGAAGGCTGTGGGGGAACTCTTGTCCCACCAGCTGCTTTTGTGGTGAACTGTTCACCTTGGGGAAATAATTCTGAAGACACTGTGGTTAGGGGCTCGTGGCCTTGTGGCCTGCGATCAGTGGCTCCCCCAGTGTGCATGTGCAGTTCCCAGGCACACTGTCACCATAGCAGCCTTTTAACTGTTAATAACAAACCGACAAACAAGAAGCAGGGCTGTTGAAAGAAACATCTGTACGTCCATGTCTAACATTTTGCATCCCAACTCTCCAATGTCCCACTTTTCCCAGATTTCAACTAGCCCTCATGGAATCTAGTAGCGCAATGGAACCATTCCACTCCCCCTTGCCCTCAGGCCACAGGGGCTCTTCCTGCATGAGATTCCACCCCGTTCCAGTTCTAACCACCTCAGCACTCTGCATACCTCCAGAATCCTCTGTACCTTCACACACCACTGAGGCAGTTTTGGTCACTTAACTGACCAGATTCTTCCATTTTTACCCAAACCTCAGGATACCCTTTTCTGGACATTTCCTGCCCATCCCCACTTTACATACCCCACGGGCCATGCTGCCTTTACAAAATCCTTTTGGGGACCTTATATCTAATGAGTACAGGAACTGTCACATGGACCTTTTCTCTAATGAGTACGGAAACTGTCACATGGACAATATACGTAGATCTGGGGGATGTGGGTTAGGCTGACAGAACTCAGGAGGTTTGGAGACTCAAAGCTCTGAGACTGAGGTATGATCTCCTCACTTTCACCCTCTCTGTTCCCCACCAATCCCAGTCTTCCCACTGGTCTCCTCCTCGGAGTCTCTCTCATTATTCTGCTCCCAGACATGGCACTGCAGTCTTTTGTCTTGTTCAGATGTAAGCTGTGGCCATCAGGGGGAAGAATGCCGGGTTGTGGCCAGAAAGGAGGAAGATGTCAGATGCCTCATGACTGCAGGACTGGCTGACTCTTTCGTTTTTGTGTCCAGATGTTTTATGTGTCTACCTCCCGCCAGCTGAGGCGTCTGGACTCTGTCACTAGGTCCCCAATCTACTCTCACTTCAGCGAGACCGTGTCAGGTTTGCCAGTTATCCGTGCCTTTGAGCACCAGCAGCGATTTCTGAAACACAATGAGATGAGGACTGACACCAACCAGAAATGTGTCTGTTCCTGGATCATCTCCAACAGGTGAGGCTTCCCCTGGGTATTTACCCATGTGTGAGCTTTGGGGTTATGCCTGTTTGACATTAGCTGTGGGAGGGCAAGCTTGGCTAGTGGTGTGAAATTCACTCTGGCCACACACACTGCTGTGTTATGTAAGTGGAGAGAAGAAAGCATGATGAGCTTTGGAGTCAGAGAGTGGGTCCCCATGCCAGCTCTGCCATTTACCAAGCTGGGTGAATTGCCTTGAACCCTCTAAGGAAAATCTCCATTTCTTTGTTTTTGTAATGGCCAGAACATGCCCTATCTCACAAGGTTCCACCTGTCTCATGGTGGAAGTCAAATAACTGTGAACATTTTGTAACCCAGTACCAAACAAGTGCTGGGTGAACTGAACATCCTCTATTTCCTTTTCTGAGAGTGGATGTGAGAGTCTCCATAGTCATGATAAGACCATTGATAACAGAAAGGGAAGCTCCCATCCTGTAAATAGGGTGAGCATTATTCTCCAGCATCCTTAAGCCCTGGCCTGGCAAGCAGTATGTCCTGGAAAGAGGAAGGTCTTTTTAAGGAAGAAAAATTCTTGAGTGGCTTCCAAAGTGTCTTGAGGCACTAATGATGCTCAGTATTATTTGGAATGTGGACAGGTCAGGAGTTTGATTGTAAAGATATTTTATTTCTTAGAGACTTTTCAGGAAGGAAAAGGTATGTAAGTAAATCTTAATAGACCTTCACTGTGAAGAAGGTATCATATTTATTCATACACTTTAAATACTTTTTTTTTTTTGAGACGGAGTCTTGCTCTGTCACCTAGGCTGGAGTGCACTGGTACAATCTTCGCTCACTGCAACCTCCGCCTCCCAGGTTCAAGCAATGTTCCTACATCAGCCTCCCAAGTAGCTGAGTTTACAGGCTTGTGCCACCACACCCAGCTAATTTTTTGTGTGTTTTTAGTAGAAATATGGTTTCACCATATTGGCCAGACTGGTCTCGAATTCCTGACCTGGTGATCTGCCCACCTCAGCCTCCCAAAGTGCTGGGATTACAGGTATGAGCCACCACACCCAGCTTAAATACATTTTCTTTGGGAAAGTCCATTTTTACAAACTGTGTCTATACATATATAATCTTCAGTTTTCTACAAAACCCCAGTGTATCTCCCTGTGGGCAACTCACACCTAACTTTCCTTCACCCTCAGCTGCTTCTTCCCCTTTTAAAAATACTGAAATCAAACAGGGCACGTTGACCTTTCCTGTGGTGCTTACTTTTTTTTGGGGGGGACGGAGTTTCGCTCTTGTTACCCAGGCTGGAGTGCAATGGCACGATCTTGGCTCACCACAACCTCCGCCTCCTGGGTTCAAGCAATTCTCCTGCCTCAGCCTCCTGAGTAGCTGGGATTACAGGCATGCGCCACCAGGCCCAGCTAATTTTTGCATTTTCAGTAGAGACGGGGTTTCACCTTGTTGACCAGATTGGTCTCGATCTCTCGACCTCGTGATCCACCCGCCTCGGCCTCCCAAAGTGCTGGGATTACAGGCATGAGCCACCGCGCCCGGCTACTTTTTAATCTTATACATGGATTCACTATGGCATTGCTTCCCCAGCCTGATCAAAAGAAGTCACTTGGAGCATTCATTCAAAATGCAGATTCTTGGCCAGGAGCAGTGGCTCACACCTGTAATCCCAGCACTTTGGGAGACTGAGGCAAACAGATCATGCGAGCCCAGGAGTTCAAGACCAGCCTGGGCAACATGATGAAATCCTGGCTCTCCAAAACACACACGCGCACAAAAATTAGCTGGGTGCAGTGGCATGCACCTATAGTTCCAGCTTCTTGGGAGGTTGAGGTGGGAGGATGGCTTGAGCCCGGGAGGTCAAGGCTGCAGTGAATCATAATCATGCCCCTGCACTCTCACCTTGGTGACAGAGCAAGACCCTGTCTCATAAAACAAAAACAAAATGCAGATTCTTGAATCCCATCCCAGGCCCCCTGAATCAGAAAAGGGTCCAGGAATTTTCCACATGAATTTTTAACATTGTATTTTAACAGTTGCCCTTGCCCTAGGTGATTCTTGTGATTTGGTGAGTTTGGGAGACATTGCACAGTAGAATTCCCTTAATTTAGCAAACTCCTGTAGGATCTTTAAAATGCAATTTGTTTTCTTAAAAAAGAAAAATCAATAGGCTTTTAGGAATACATGGTGTTTCTAAGTCAAATTGAGGCTTCGCCTAAGAGTGCAGCCCAATTGAGTCAAACCCTCTGAGAATGTTCCATGAACACCAAGGATGCTGGTTAAGATGAGGAAGTGATCAGTGACACCCACTCTCTGGTTCTGTTGCCCCACAGGTGGCTTGCAATTCGCCTGGAGCTGGTTGGGAACCTGATTGTCTTCTTTTCGGCCTTGATGATGGTTATTTATAGAGATACCATAACCGGGGACACTGTTGGCTTTGTTCTGTCCAATGCACTCAATGTGAGTTTGAAGGTTGGGAATTTGGTTATGCTAGTGGGCTTATTCTTAAATTAAGCCTCAAGTATACTCTGGAGCCTGTGCTCTTGATTCCCTCTTAACCCCAGAAGGACTAACGGAGACTGAGTTTCAAACCCTGGCTCCATCTTTCACCCATGGACATGCTCCTTACTCTTCCTAAGTAGACATGAGTGCCCTCTAGAAAACGGGACATAAATGTTGACCTTAGGACTTAAGAAGGCAATTTCATGTGTTTCAATCTCATCATTCCCTGTCTGCCTCTTTGCTTTCTAGTTAAAAGAGAATAAATAACTTTCTTCTCTAGAATGGAGCAGTAATCAGAAAGCCTTTTAGAACAAAAACTCCCCCTGCGTTTTTCTTAGATCACAGAATAATTGGAGGCAATTCTAATAAAGAAAATAGAGTCTGATAAACTATAGAATGAGTCTCACTGCAGCATCCCCAGCATGACTAGGGGAGACGTGGCAGGCACGGTTATTTTCTAGCACCTAAGACAGTGGCTGGCACTGCAGTAACTATTCAATCAATATTTGTTCAATAAATGAGTCATTTGATCATCTTTTTGAACTAATTTTTGGAGATTTGCATAGTTATATGTGGGCTTTATAGAACAGTGCTGTTTTCATTAGAAGTTAATAAGGCTGGTGGGGTGCGGTGGCTCACGCCTGTAATCCCAACACTTTGGGAGGCCAAGGCGGGCGGATCAACTGAAGTCAGGAGTTTGAGACTAGCCTGGCCAATGTGGTAAAACTCAGTCTCTACTAAAAATACAAAATATTAGCCAGGTGTGGTGGCGGGCACCTGTAATCCCAGCTACTGGGGAGGCTAAGGCAGGAGAACTACTTGAACCCAGGAGGCAGAGGTTGCAGTGAGCCAAGATCATACCATTGCACTCCAGTCTGGGACAACAGAGCAAGATTCCATCTGAAAAAAAAAAAAAGAAGAAGTTGGTAAGGTCCAATGTTCCTGCCAGGGCACCTAAAAGGACTTTGTTATTCACTAAAGTCATTTAGTTCCTTGTGCCACTGCCCTTTCATCCCCCCATTTCTAGGCTTTTTAGCCCAGGACAGACAAGGCAAAGAAGAATCTATTAGATTGAACCAAAACAAAATGACTCAAAAAGCAGCAACTACATATGCTTCAAACGACACGAAGTGGTTACTCTGGGTCCCCATGATTCTCTCCTCTGCTGTCTATGGCTCCCTTTCTCTAACCACCATTTGCTCAACAAAAACTCCCTGTGCATATATGCAAACTCCTGAGTCTTTTCCTGAGAGAAGCTTGCATCTGAGTAATCTACAGATTCCCTGTCCAGGATCATGCCTTTCCCTGATTCACAAAGAGCACTAGGCATACAGGCAGGAGGCCTGAGCACCCGTTGCCAGACTCTCCAATTCTAGCTTTAGCCCCAAACCACTAGACACTACTCACATTGCCCTTTGTGTGAACACCTAATTGTTCTGTAGCCATTCAATGCCCTGCTCTTAATTCCTTCCCCAAGGAGGCGAGGATTGTCTTTCTTACACTTTTCCTTACTCTCTTGTAGAGCGCAGCACAGTGCTGGGTACAAAGTAGGCACTAGATCATCCTTGTGGTTTGAGTAGTGGAGTTGGCTGCTGTGTCTAAGATGATGATTTTCAGTCTTCTGGTTTTTCTATAGATCACACAAACCCTGAACTGGCTAGTGAGGATGACATCAGAAATAGAGACCAACATTGTGGCTGTTGAGCGAATAACTGAGTACACAAAAGTGGAAAATGAGGTAAGGGGGAATTAGAAAAATCCAGGGACAAGGCAAAAAAACATGCAACTCCTTCAAGAGCGCATCTCTAGAATGTCTCCATATTTCGCACGGGCTAGTAATGGGTCCCCTAAAGTTTCCTTTCCTGTAACTCAAAGGACCTAATTTCTTCAAACTTAGAATAGGAAATGGTTTAGGGGAAGTCAGGTCTTAGAACATACCAAGGAGATCTACAACACAAGCTCGTGGGATAATTTTTCTTTAACTGAATAAGGAAGGAAACTTCCAAAGGTACAAGTCCAGTTCAGTCTATGAAATGCAGAGGCCATTAGGTAGCTGGGCCGCTGCTACCCTTTTCCTGTTCTGTGACGTGGGTCCTAAAAGAACTGTTCGGCTGAGTTGCCACCTTATAAAGCTTACTTCTCACCTTGTCTCCTTGCCAGGCACCCTGGGTGACTGATAAGAGGCCTCCACCAGATTGGCCCAGCAAAGGCAACATCCAGTTTAGCAACTACCAAGTGCGGTACCGACCTGAGCTGGATCTGGTCCTCAAAGGGATCACTTGTGACATCAGTAGCATGGAGAAGGTAGGTAGAGTGAAGGAAGGCCTGGATGGGTGGCCTTGTGATCAGACAACAATTGTATGCAGAGTGGAGAGCAGCTGGGCCCTGAGCCTTCATCATTTGGATGGAGGAAGAGGGTCAGGGCACTTCCTCTGCCCTGGGGAAGTATGGGGACACAGTACCAGAGGGAAGGATAGCAGTCAGAAATCACACAGACTTACTGCAGCTGTCGGGTCTTCCACTCAGCTCCTCCCAGCCAGCTGACCAGAGCCCCTTTCCTATAAGGTCCACAGTATGCAGAGAGGAAATCGGGAAGGAAACGAGGGAGTGCCAGGCCTGGCAAAGGAACTGTTGAGAATAGCAGGGCGGAGGGTTGTCCTTGAAGGAAGAATGACCTAGTTCTCCTCCTAGTCTTCAAAGTCAGGCACCCTCCTTAGGCGCTCTTGTGCTCCAAGGACTTGGGGTCTGATGAGCAAGGACACTGAGGTCCGGATCAGACTCTGGCTCTCAGCTGGTGGCAGACCTGATCCTTCCCTTCTCTTCACTTCTAAACAAGGATTTTTTTTCTTTTTTTTTGAAATGGAGTCTCGCTCTGTCACCCAGGCTGGAGTGCAGTGGCACAATCTCGGCTCACTGCAACCTCTACTTGCCAGGTTCAAGCGATTCTCCTGACTCAGCCTCCCAAGTGGCTGGGACTACAGGTGTGTGCCACCACACCTTGCTAATTTTTTATATTTTTAGTAGAGATGGGGTTTTGTCATGTTGATCAGGCTGGTCTTGAACTTCTGGCCTCAGGTCATCTGCCCACCTTGGCCTCCCAAAGTGCTGGGATTATAGGCATAAGCCACCATGCCTGCCATAAATAAGGATTTTTTTAAAATCTATAATTTCCAATAATAAGTATAACAACAGCTGCTGAGTAGGTCCATTTCTTTTTTTTTTTTGGAGTGCAATGGCGCGATCTCAGCTCACCGCAACCTCCGCCTCCTGGGTTCAAGCAATTCTCCTGCCTCAGCCTCCTGAGTAGCTGGTATTACAGGCATGCGCCACTATGCCCAGCTAATTTTTTGTATTTTTAGTAGAGACAGGGTTTCACCACGTTGACCAGGATGGTCTCGATCTCTCGACCTTGTGATCCACCCGCCTCGGCCTCCCAAAGTGCTGGGATTACAGGCTTGAGCCACCGCGCCCGGCCTTGAGTAGGTCCATTTCAAATAGTGACTACAGTTCTCAGTAAACAATGATTTTTGAGATCTTTTTCTGACATCTGGGTACTTTTTTCCTCACCCAAACCAAAATCAGTTTAATGTCTTAAAGATGGAATAGCCAATCACTGCCTCTTACTACCTGTGACTGTGAATACCCAGGCTAAATAACCTTTCCCCAAGAAATCTGTGTGGAACTAATGCATAAGCGAACTGTATTCACAGATTGGTGTGGTGGGAAGGACAGGAGCTGGAAAGTCATCCCTCACAAACTGCCTCTTCAGAATCTTAGAGGCTGCTGGTGGTCAGATCATCATTGATGGAGTAGATATTGCTTCCATTGGGCTCCACGACCTTCGAGAGAAGCTGACCATTATCCCCCAGGTGAGCTCTAGAACTTACTCGGGCACATGCCATGGTGGGCAGCTTATTCTTGATGTCTGTTCAGTCAGCACTATCATTTCTGCAGTCCACTCAGGATACCTGAGCTAGTTGCCTAGGATGGACACGTCGTTTCCAGAACTGAAGTTTTTGAAATGTTTGGAAATACGCATTTGTGGCTGCCTGAGTCTGATCGCTAGGTGGCAGCAACACAACAGAAGTCAAGTAGAGCAGATGATTATTTAGCATTTCTATAGACCATCACAGTTTGCAAGACTTTTGCAATCAGCATTAGCAGTTTTGCCGCTGAAGCTTGAAGCCATTAAGCTTTATACTCCCCATTTGCTATGGTTAAAAGATAGAGGAGGGAATTTGCTGCAGGTTTCTGCCAGCAAGCGGAACGCTTCGTGCATCAGCAAGAAAGACTTCCCCTCGGCTTCCTCTGGATCCTACCAGATAAAGATTGCCGCGGGGCCTCTCCACTCGCCGGCAGCCAGAACCTTTCCTCCTCCGCCCACTGCAGCCCAGTTTCTCTGTGGGTAGTTTTGGTCTGTCTAGTATTTGCTCAGTTCAATACGGTCTTTTCTCCAGCCTCTTTAAAAGCGTGTTATCTTCTCATGCAGCTGTGCTGTTCTTTCCTCTACCTTGAAACCATGAGTTTTGGTTTGGGAGGCTGAGGCAGGTGAATCACTGGAGCTCAGAAGTTCAAGATCAGCTTAGGCAACATGGCAAGAACCCCTCTCTACAAAAAATGAAAAAAAAAAAAAAAATCAGCCGAATGTGGTGGTGCATTCCTATAATCCCAGTTACTCAGGAGGCTGAGGAAGGAGAACTGCTTGAACATGGGAGGTGGAGGTTGCAGTGAGCCGAGATCATGCCATTGCAGTCCAGCCTGGGCAACAAGCATGAGACTCCATCTCAAAAAAAAAGAAAAGAAAAACAATCAGCCGGGTGTGGTGGTGTGTGCCTGTGATTACAGCTACCTTGGAGGCTGAAGTGGGAGGATCAGTTGAGCCAAGGAGGTCGAGGCTGCAGTGCGTGGTGTTCTTGCCACTGCACTCCAGCTGGGCAACAGAGTAAGACTCAGTCTCAAAAACAAAAACAAACCAAGGACTTATCTTAACGTTGTGCCTAGCCCCTGGCTGGTGGCCACTCCAACCCTTTGGAGGGAAAACCTTGTGGAAGCTCAACCACAAACCAGCTTCCTGCCTCAGGAATCCACCTCAGGCCAGTCCCATCCGCCTTCTCCCAGTCCCATCCGCCTTCTCCCAGTCCCGAGGAACTCCAAGGTCCTTTCTGGCATGAGCCCCAACAGCCCCCTCATCCCTTCACTTGCAGGACCCCATCCTGTTCTCTGGAAGCCTGAGGATGAATCTCGACCCTTTCAACAACTACTCAGATGAGGAGATTTGGAAGGCCCTGGAGCTGGCTCACCTCAAGTCTTTCGTGGCCGGCCTGCAACTTGGGTTATCCCATGAAGTAACAGAGGCCGGTGGCAACCTGAGGTAATGCTCCATAGCCTGCTGTCCCTGCATGCAGTGAGGGGATGTGAGGGGCCACTCCTCCTGTTCCTGTGTTAGGTGGTGCCTGGCATAGAATTGTCATCCAGGTCTAATTCTCAATGTGTAAAATGACCCTGTTATAGAACTCACAAGATAAAATAGGTGTGAAAGTGCTTTGCTGGGTGCATTGATTCATGCCTGTAATCCCAGCACTTTGGGAGGCCAAGGCGTGTGGACTGCCTGAGCTCAGGAGTTCGCAACCAGCCTGGGGAACATGGTGAAACCCCATCTCCTCTAAAAAAAAAAAAAAAAAAAAGATACAAAAAATTAGCTGAGCATGGTGGTATGCACCTGTAGTCCCAGCTACCTGAGAGACTGAGGCAAGAGAATTGCTTGAACCTGGGAGGCAGAGGTTGCAGCGAACCAAGATCACGCCACTGTACCACTCCAGCTGGGGTGACAGAGTGAGAGAAAGGAATGAAGGAAGGAAAAAGAGAGGGAGGTTCAAGACTCTTAAAAACTGGCCGGGCGCAGTGGCTCACGCTTGTAATCCCAGCACTCTGAGAGGCTGAGCCAGGTGGATCACCTTTGGTCAGGAGTTTGAGACCAGCCTGGTCAACACAGTGAAATCCTGTCTCTACTAAAAATACAAAAAGTAGCCAGGCATGGTGGTGGGCGCCTGTAATCTCAGCTACTTGGGAGGCTGAGGCAGGAGAATCGCTTAAACTCGAGAAGTGGAGGTTGCAGTGAGCTGCAATCGTGCCACTGCACTCCAGCCTGGTGACAGAGCAAGACTCTATCTAAAAAAAAACAACTCTTGAAAACCTTTGTTATTAAATGTACTTCTCATATGACATTACACAATGTGAGCTTACACATCCCATGATTGTGGAGAACCACAGAAAGCAGAGGCTCCCAGCTGTGCACAATCAGTATGAAAATAGTCTCATTCCTGGTCCAACCCTAGAGTCTAATTTAATTGTATGAGGCTACAGTAGACATGGGGAATTGGTTGTGGTTTGTTTTTTGTTTTGTTTTGTTTTGTTTTTTGAGAGTCTTGCTCTTTCACCAGGCTGGAGTGCAGTGGCACAATCTCAGCTCCCTGCAACCTCCGTCTCCCGGATTCAAGCGATTCCCCTGCCTCAGCCTCCTGAGTAGCTGGGACTATAGGGGTGCGCCACCACACTCAGCTAATTTTTTGTATTTTTTAGTAGAAACAGAGTTTCACCATGGCCAGCGTGGTCTTGATAGCCTGACCTCATGATCCACCTGACTTGGCCTCCCAAAGTGCTGGGATTACAGGCGTGAGCCACCGTGCCCAGCCGACACGGGGAGTTTTAAAGGATCCCCACGAGGCTGTTAAGGGCATCCCAGTTTGAGAACCACTGAGAAAGAGCATGCAGATGAGTCCTTAGGCACTGTTGAAACACCTGAAATCAACAAAAGACTCTCTTGGCTTTCACAGCTCTTTTTACCTTTCTAAAACATTTTTATGTAGTTGACAGTTCACTTCTGGACAGTTTGCCTGTCCCTAAATAAGTTGATCTGGCATTTTTCCTGTAACATTTTTGTTTTTCCTTCTATACAGTGAAGTTCTGCCCTCAGCCAAAGCCCACTGCTCATGGACAGGTCTTGCTCCTGCCCCAGGTGCCTCAGTGGTGGTAGGCAAAGAATAGGCTATTTGCAAGTTGAAGCTCAGGAAGGAGGGGAGGGCTCAGTAACTGTGGACCAGTCGCTCTGGCTTCACCTGGGAGCTTGTTATACGTGCAGAATCTCCAGGTGTAGACCTACTCAACAGAATCTGCATATTAGCAAGATTCCCAGGTGATTTTTATGCACATCACACTTGAGAAGCAATGCCTAGAGTGTTGTGGTTAACTAGGCTGCAAGCTAAAATCACCCAGGAAGCTTTAAAGCTCCCAGTGCCTAAACTGTAGCCCAGACCGATTGAATCGGGGACCCAGGTGATTTCAGTGTATAGCCCCAGGGAACACTTGCAAGCCCTGGTGAAGAGCATCATCAGTTTACTTTCCCTCCACAACAGATCTAGGAGCTAGCAGGACTTAAGTAGATCTCTAGGCCAGTATAAAAGATCATTCAAACACTCAGTCAGCAAAAATGTAATAACACCTACTATGGGCCAGGCACTGAAAATACAAAGGCAAACAGAGACATAACCCTGACTTCCAGCACTCACAGCATAATGAAGACAGATCTGTGTGAGTAAATGCTAGCACAGTCTGTGCTACAGAGGGGACACGTGGGACACTACGGTAGGGTGCTATGGGAGGGAGGCCTTCACACTTCTGGTTTGTAAAAACAAAAATCATAGGCTGGGCACTGTGGTTTATGCCTGTAATCCCAGCACTTTGGGAGACCGAGGCAGGCGGATCATCTGAGGTTAGGAGTTTGAGACCAGCCTGGGTAACATGGAGAAACCCCGTCTCTACTAAAAATACAAAATTAGCTGGACATGGTGGTACATGCCTATAATCCCAGCTACTCAGGAGGGTGAGGCAGGAGAATCACTTGAACCCAGGAGGCGGAGGTTACAGCGAGCCAAGATTATGCCATTGCACTCCAGCCTGGGCAACAGGAACAAAACTCCATCTCAAAAAAAAAAAAAAAAAAAACATGCCGTCTTTCTCCTCACCAAGCTCCTTTCAGATCTGAGTTTCAAATCTGGACTAGGGGACTAAAATGTACATTTCTCTGTTGAATGATGGATAAGTTCAGCTTGGAGGGAGCAGCTGAAAGCCAAAGTGGGGCCTCAGTAACAATCTGTTAAAGTCCAAAGTATACATTACACTTTGGGCCAAGCATGAGTTTGGTGCAAGCTAAGCAAATCATTTTTCAGTGTATTTGATCTTACATTACAGGGGAAAGCTAGAAGTTCATCTTGGGTGACTTCTCATCTCCTGCAGAAATTTTCTTACAGAGAATCACAGAACTTTAGCCACCCCCTGTTTAATATGTTCCCTAATGGCCACAGCAGGAAAGAGCAATTCGCAAATTCCTGACTATTTCCTTCACATCATTTCCCAGAGCTTCTTTATGTAAGTAAGAGGTCCAGCCTTCATTACAGGCTTTTAGCAAATTAAAGCTATTTGCATTTTACAAGCATATTTGAATTCCACATACATTGCATCTCACACCAAGACATCATGTTCATTAGATAGCTTCATCTCTAATCAAGGCAGAAGGGCTTGAACAAATAATTAGCCTTGAGACTAGAATTACACATTAAAATAATAAATGGATTTGCTAAGGCTGAAAAGAAATGCCATTGGGGCATTCTGGTGTAGTGTCACCCTATATTAATGGTTTCAGGTCAAATACTGCTAAAGTAAACTTGGTGACATTCATGTTGTTTTGGAAATGTTGGTATCACTGAAACCAAATATAAAGAAGCATTGTACCTGGGCCAGTGTTTTCCAAACTTTTTTTGAGACGGAGTTTCACTCTTGTTACCCAGGCTGGAGTGCAATGGCGTGATCTTGGCTCACCGCAACCTCTGCCTCCTGGGTTCAGGCAATTCTCCTGCCTCAGCCTCCTGAGTAGCTGGGATTACAGGCATGCGCCACCACACCCAGCTATTTTTTTGTATTTTTAGTAGAGACGGGGTTTCACCATGTTGACCAGGATGGTCTCGATCTCTCGACCTCGTGATCCACCCGCCTCGGCCTCCCAAAGTGCTGGGATTACAGGCTTGAGCCACCGCGCCTGGCCCAAACTTGTTTAATTGTAAAAATGGCTTGAAGTGCTTAGGAAAAAGGCCCATTTCTAGGCTCCTCCCCACTCTGATGGAGTAAGCAGGGACCCAGAAATATGACCTTTTTTTTTTTTTTTTTTTTTTGAGGCAGAGTCTTGCTCTGTTGCCAGGCTGGAGTACAGTGGTGGAGCTCAGCTCACTGCAACCTTCGCCTCCTGGGTTCAAGTAATAATTCTCCTGCCTCAGCCTCCTGAGTAGCTGGGACTACAGGCACATACCACCACGCCCAGCTAATTTTTCTATTTTTAATAGAGACAGGGTTTCACCAGGTTGGCCAGGATGGTCTCAATGTCTTGACCTCGTGATCCGCCTACCTTGGCCTCCCAAAGTGCTGGGATTACAGGCATGAGCCACTGCGCCTGGCCGAAATAAGACTTTTTAGTTAAGTACTTGGGGTTGGTTTTCAATTGGAAAAGTTTGAAAAACGATGCCCATAATAGCAATGAACAGCTAGTTGAAGAGGCCCAAACGTTCCAGGGGAATTTTGGAGTGGGGGTTTTGAAAGTCTGATCTGGAACATGAAAATGGTCCCCCTGCCCTGTATGTTTCCTTCGTCCTTGGGAACTAACACATGGCTTCTTTTATTGGCTGCAGCATAGGCCAGAGGCAGCTGCTGTGCCTGGGCAGGGCTCTGCTTCGGAAATCCAAGATCCTGGTCCTTGATGAGGCCACTGCTGCGGTGGATCTAGAGACAGATAACCTCATTCAGACGACCATCCAAAACGAGTTCGCCCACTGCACAGTGATCACCATTGCCCACAGGCTGCACACCATCATGGACTGCGACAAGTAAGTAGAGGGGGACAGAGGTTGACACGTACGACTTAGCCCTTGCTCAACAGTAACAGTGTCAGCTGGAAAACACCCGGCAGCAGCAGATTTAACCACCACCATATTACTGATGAAGAAACAGGCTGGGCACGGTGGCTCATGCCTGTAATTTCAGCACTTTGGGATACTGAGGCAGGTGGACCACCTGAGGTCAGGAGTTCGAGACCAGCCTGTCCAATGTGGAGAAACCCCGTCTCTACTAAAAATACAAAATTAGCCAGGCATGGTTGTACATGCCTGTAATCCCAGTTACTCAGGAGGCTGAGGCAGGAGACGTGCTTGAACCCAGGAGCCGGAGGTTGTAGTGAGCCGAGATCACGCCATTTTACTCCAGCCTGGGCAACAAGAGCAAAACTGCATCTCAAAAATAAATAAATAAATAAAAACAGAGAGATGTCAGGTGATCTGGCCAAAATTTTATATCAAGTTAATGTAAGTGAATAGGATTAAGGGAACTATTCATATCTTGAGGGTAAAATAGGAAACTGAGTGTTGTAACAATTAACTGGGGATAGGGAGGTGGAAGCTCAAGCCGTGAGTAGCAGATGTTGACTGTAGACCTTCCCAGCCATCCTGAGCCTCAGCTGCTGCTCTGTAAAATAGCTAGAAACGTTCCGTTCCTTCCAGCTGTGTCATATTACATTCAAAAGTCAGTGATCTTAGAAAGCTGTTTGGAGATGATAGGCACCCTTTGTAAACCAATCTATCGTTAAACAATGTGTACTGCTTTTAAAAACGCATGTAAATGGACTCATACTGCCTTTATTCTTCTATCACTTGGTTCTTTTGTTCAGTAGTTGCAGAATTCATCCATTGATGTGCATAGCTGTGGCTCATTGATTTTCACTGCTCTGTAGCCTTGTCTGACTATACCACAACTTAGTCCTGGTTGTTCTTATAAATGCCCAGACTTGAGATGCTACTTTCTAAGACTTTTATCTCTTTCTTCCTTGTTTCAGGATAATGGTCCTAGACAGTGGGAAGATCGTAGAGTATGGCAGCCCTGAAGAACTGCTGCAAACCCCTGGACCGTTTTATTTGATGGCCAAGGAAGCTGGCATTGAGAATGTGAACAGCACAGAATTTTAGCAGCAGGCCCCATGGGTTAGAAAAGGACTATAAGAATAATTTCTTACTTTATTTTTTGTGAAATACAGAATACATACAAAAGTATATATAAAATGTACATTTTAAAGAAGAAGGATAAGTGAACACCCATGAACGTACTATCTGGATGAATAAATATCACCAGGTGCCTGAGAAACCCCTCGATTATCTACCTCAGTCATACTTCCTTGCTATGCACCTTCCCAGGGACAACCACTGTCCTGAATTTCATGATAATTGTTCCCTTTACTTTCATTTCTGTTTTATCACCTTTGGAGGTATCTTTTTTTTTTTTTTTTTTTTTTGAGACAGAGTTTCGCTCTTGTTACCCAGGCTGGAGTGCAATGGCGCGATCTCGGCTCACCGCAACCTCCGCCTCCTGGGTTCAGGCAATTCTCCTGCCTCAGCCTCCCAAGTAGCTGGGATTACAGGCACGGGCCACCATGCCCAGCTAATTTTTTGTATTTTTAGTAGAGACGGGGTTTCACTATGTTGACCGGGATGGTCTCGATCTCTCGACCTCGTGATCCACCCGCCTCGGCCTCCCAAAGTGCTGGGATTACAGGCTTGAGCCACCGCGCCCGGCCCGGAGGTATCTTTAAACAACGTGTACCCTTTTTTACTTATGTAAATGGACTGACTCATCCACATCTTCTGTGACTTGATTCTTTTGTTCAATATTATATTTGAGATTCATCCATAGTGATGCAAATAGGTGTGTTATTTTTTTTCACTGCTCTGCAGTCTGGTATTGTATAAATATACTATAATTTATCAGTTTTAGCACTTGAGATCATTAGCATACTCAGGATTTTAACAATTATAAACAATACTACTATGGACATTCTGTTCTACATCTCCTGGCATATATGTAAGAGTTTCTCGAGAGTATAATCTAGGAATGGAGGATGTGCACATGTTTACATGCACTAAAACTAGCTGATGCCAAACTGGTAATGCCAACTGAAAACATTGCTGTCAATCTGATGAATATGAATTGATGTATCACAGAGAATTTCATTTGTATTTCCCTGCTATCTATTGAGGATGAATATATTTTCATGTTTTTGGGGTATTTGCATTTCCAGTCGTCTTTTAAATATTATGTCTGATAATTCCAAGGTCTGGATTCTTTATCTGTTGTTTCTGTTGGTTTTTATTCATGGTATTTTATTTCCTTGTATGTCTTGTGCATTTTTATTATAAGCTAATTCTCCTTAAAACTTTATCTGTAGATACTCTTTAAGGCCTAAATTGACCATGAGTTCTTCCTAAGGGAATTGGGAAAGCTTTAGCCTGTTGCCTGGAGCATTACCCAGAACCTCTTTGAATGAAATTCTTCACTAAGGGGTTTCAAACCACACAGTGCAACTTCAGGCCACAATCCAGCACAAGAGCCAGCTTGTGATTTACAAATTCCCAAGGGAGAGTGATAGGTTGAAGATAGACGAGGGCCTCTTGTTGTGGACTCCCTCTGCATTCTGCACGGCATTATCTAGTCTTCTCTACTTGTACATTGCAGGTATCACCCTTTCATGACACAGGTTCATCAGAGGGTTTTAGTCTGCACCGTGGCAGACCTTGGCTTTATCTCTTGCCTTAGCATCCTACATTATCAACGAAGTGGAAGTTTAAGATCTCCTGGGCAGGAGATTTCAGAAGCCAGCCTAAGCTCTGGGCCTTCCTTACCTCCTAGGGCCTTTTGTGTCATGTTATTTTGGGTCCCTCATATACTTTCCTCCATTTCAGTGATGTAATGATAAAGTTTTTTATTTATTCAGCATTTCACTGTCTGTTTAGTGAGGTGCTCAGCATTAAACTTCCAGAAGGAAGGGCATATAGCTATTGCAAACATACCTCTGCTTGCCCTGAATAGTTACGGGTTGTCAGTTTCCCAAAATAATAATCGTTTCCCCCTTCACACACAAATTGTCTCATTTGTATGATAAACTTGTGTGCCTCCCACACATAACCCTGTGAATTAGATTTTGAATCACAGCATAGATGGTGGTCAACAAAGTTGTATAAATATTGATGTGTTGGCTGGTTGGGGGGTCACTATTCATGGAGAATCCCCTCCCTAATTCTGCAAACTAGGTCTAGTACATTGTGACTATTCTATAAATGTTGGCTGATTTTTACAGGTAGATTTTCAGATCTATACCTGCTTATGCACATGAAATGTAGCTCCTGTAAATTGCAGATTAGCATATATTAATCTAAGATGCCATCAATTGTAAAATACCTATTATTTTCTATACCACAAAGAAAGGATACTGCCAGTTAAACTCTGGCATGCGTTGTTGGTAAAATGCATCCTATTTGTGGGGAAAAAAAAATAGCATGTTAAGATTAATACAATACCTGTAAATCTCTGTAAGAGCTAAGTCATGTTCTTTATCTCTGCTATTGATCTTTGTTCTTTTTTCCTGATTTTCCAGTCTCTGTTGCTCTTTCAATCCAGTATCATCATCATTATCCTCACTTCCCTTATTTCTTTTACTCCGCTATTTCACTGCCAGGTAGCTAACCATGTTTTTACCATCTGTTCTTTCTGATCATTAGAATTTCAAAAAACAGTGCTTTTTTTTCTAAGTGGCTTAAAAAAAAATTTTTTTTTTTAGTGTTTACTTTGAAAACATATTCCATACATGTAAACTTTCCAATTTGCTTCTTAAACGAGTGTTTAGACATATAGCATTTGGAGGAGCAGGAGGAACTTTGAAAACAAAGGAACTGTTTCTGTGACTGCAGAAGCCAGAGAAATGCAAGCTAGGGAAAGCACCAGGATAAAAGTGAAACTGAAGGAGACACCTGATACTTTCTCTCTTTTTTTTTTTTTTTAAAGACAAGGTTTCACCATGTTGGTCAGGCTGGTCTTGAACTCCTGACCTCAGGTGATCTGCCCACCTTGGCCTCCAAAGTGCTTGGATTACAGGCATGAGCCACCACACCCGGCCGATACTTTCTCAATTTGTTTCTCAAGCAAAATGGTCCAGGCTGATGTTGGTATACTTATTACCAGAGAACTTTGAAGATAAACAACCATCACTTACTTATTTAGCTTCCAGTAAATGTCCAACACTGTGCCAAAAATTTTTGAAAAGCTATCTAGGCCAGGGTGGTGGCTCACACCTGTAATCCCAGCACTTTGGGAGGCCAAAGTGGAGGGATCACATGAGGTCAGGAGTTCAAGACCAGCCTGGCCAACATGGTGAAACCCCATCTCTACTAAAAATACAAAAATTAGCCAAGCATGGTGGTATACACCTGCAATCACAGATAGGAGGCTGAGGGCAGGAGAATCACTTGAACCTGGGAGGCGGAAGTTGCAGTGAGCCGAGATAGTACCACACTCCTGCCTAAGCGACAGAGCAAGACTCCATCTCAAAAAAAAGCTAATATAAACTAAATAAAGATTACTTTCCATTGTGGCCTAATTAATATCCCTTTCATAAGCTTTATTTCACTTAACCAATATCAGAGACAATTTTAGATAACTACCTAAAACTATACATTCCCAAATTCCACCACGGCTTCACTGTTTTCACCGATCTTTTGGGCACTTTCTGTGCCCTTCCCAGTTCTTCTGGGTGCATGGAAGCATAGCATTTCAGCAGTAAAGGAGCCTATGTCCATTGTTAAAGTGACTGTCGCTCAGTTTCAAATTTACCCTTTTTAGATTTTGCTCTTTGATGCTGGGGTGAGACTTAAACATCTCATTTCTGCTTTGCCTACTATTCCTATTAAGTTTTGACAATAGGAGGCGCTGGAGGGACACTGGACGCTGGCGGCATGAGGAAGAAAACGTGCTCTTTCTATTGGCTCTGTCGGCATCACTCTGACAGTTTCTCTGCAGCAGCAGTTCTCACAAGCAGCCACACTGATTTCAGTTTGCAGTTTTTCAACAGTCACAGAACCAGTGTCATCAAGCCCAACACCAACACCAGCTGAGCAGCGTCCCCTTTTGCAGAAGCAATAAAAAGAGTGAAAGAAAACAAACTAATTTTACACTGATGCATTGGCACAACAGGAAGAATAAGTCTATAAGAATATAAAGAATAAACCTGTAAGAATAAACCAGCAGGCCTACCTTTTCGGCAGAATAATTTTTGCCAAAAATTTTGGAAACATCCTTAGAATTAATTTGTTTTGTTTATATAATAGAATGAGAATACATTTAACCAATAGAATGAGAATACATTTAACCACACGTGCATACTGATCATGAATTTATTTTAGAATTAGCAAACAGTATTGTACAAACATTGATATTTAAATCTCTAAACTGCAGCTTAGATTTAATTGGCAAAGACTATATTCTACTCTGAGTTTAGTCTTCCACATGGACACGAGACTGGTTTTTTGAAAGGTTTCATATTGTTCATATTGTTCAGAAGGTTTCCTATTTCATATTGTTTGAAAATACCATAAGTAGGCCAAGCACAGTGACTCACATCTGTAATCCCAGCACTTTGGGAGGCCTGGGATCACTTGAGCCCCAGAGTTCAAGACCAGCCTAAGCAACAAGGCAAGACCTCTCTCTACAAAAAAAAAATACAGAAAGTTAGCAAGGTGTAGTGGTGTGCGCTTGTAGTCCCAGCTACTCAGGAGGCTGAGGTGGAAGGATTGCTTGAGCCCAGGAGGTCAAAGCTACAGTGAGCTGAGATCACACCACTCCATTCCAGCCTGGGCAACAGAGTAGGACTCTGTCTCCAAAAAAGAAAAGAAAATATCATAAGTAAAAGATTGTAAAAGTGCATGAAGCAATTGGCTGTAAAAAGCACCCACTGTCATAGCCTTCCTTTTAATTTCATATGCAAGTAGTTGGTTATGCTGTAGAATTTAACTGTTACAATATAAAAAGCAACTATTTATGGAAAAAGTAGAAAAAAGAAAATGGCTGGGTGCAGTGGCTCACATCTGTAACCTCATCACTTTGGGAGGCCTAGGCAGGAGGATCGTTTGAGCTCAGGAGTTTGAGACCAGACTGGGAATATATGTTTGGCAGTGTTTCTTTAAGGTAAACGAACATAAAAATAGAGTTTTAGGAAGAAAAGAAAAACTAGGCTAGTTTGATTCTTACTGAATTTTGAAAATGAACTAGAATAGAGCTCCTTCTTCAATTCTAACAAACAGTCAAGGCCTTGGTCACCA